ATAAAGCACACACAGAAGAAAATGTCCATACATGTTGTAGAATGCTAAAGTGTCCTGATCATCACCAATCCTTTCTGTTGGACACTAACTGTCCAACAAGACCCTCCTGCATCGACAAGGAAAAACTCTTAAAAAACCCAGTGGGAAAAAGTGAGAAACCTTGGAGGAGAACTAGGGAAACCCACAGGGAGGGAGACCCATATGAGAAAGGGATCCGCTCCTCCGGACGGACAGACTAATGATCTAGGACCTAAGCTAGCTACAGAACGTGGACCAGTGGACGCTGAACGTGGACAGGTCCGGTGCAGGACTGAAGCACTCCCAGGCGGGTCGGGCGGGGCAGTCCGCAGGTGTAGATGGAGGAGGCCAGGCTCAGAGATCCCGTCATCGTACCATGAAACAGACAATGGGACAACGGGTGAATAGCAATGAACAAACTACAGTCAGAATCCTAAAAATGCTAAACAGATAAAGTAGGAAGGAGGAGAGGATAGTGCTCAAGTTACCATACTTCTCCCAGCAAACTGACTCCCTATGCAGCTTGACTAACACTCTGAGTCTTACCTTCCTAGCCATATGCTAAACTAAAGAGGACTGTTTTAAACCTAGCCTTGAATAAAGAATAACATACAGCATAATATATAACATAATATACAACATAACACAATACATTATTGAATAATATATAACATAATATATAACATAATACAGCATATATATATAATATATACACTACATATTATATATTACCTAATTATATGCTAAATTAAAGTAAAGTGCTTTAAGCCTGGCCTTGAATGTGGAGACCGTATCTGCTTCCTTAACATAAATGGGAAGCTGATTCCACAGTAAAGGAGCTTGGTAGCTAAATGCTCTGCCACCAACAGTGACCTTTGAGACCTTAGGGACCACCAGACGTCTGGCGTTTTGTGAGCGCAACGCTCGACCTGGTTGATACGACACTAACGTGTCTTGGAGATAAGAAGGAGCCAAGCCATTTATGGCTTTATATGTTAAGAGTAGGATTTTAAACTTTATTCTGTACTCCACAGGGAGCCAGTGGAGTGATTTTAACACCGGAGTTATGTGCTCCCTCCTTTTGGTACCTGTTAAGATCCTAGCTGCTGTATTCTGAACGAGCTGGAAGCTCTTCAAAGAGGCTTTAGGGCACGCTGCCAGTAAAGCGTTACAGTAGTCGAGCCTTGAGGTGACAAACGCGTGAATGAGTTTTTCCGCGTCACTTTTAGGAAGGAAATTCCTAATTTTAGCGATGTTCCGTAAGTGGAAGTACGCCGTTTTAGTTGCTTGGCTTATATAAGCCTTGAAGGAGAGTTCTTGGTCAAAAAATGACTCCAAGATTCCTCACAGTGTTACTGGGTATTATACTGACATTATCGAGAGTAACCATCTGGTTAGTGAGGGAGTCACGCAGGCGCTTCGGACCGAGTAGGATCACTTCTGTCTTCTCCGGGTTGAGAAGTAGGAAGTTAAGAGTCATCCACATTTTAAGGTCCTTTATGCAGGCACTGAGCTTTTCTAGCTGATCTGTCTGATTAGGCTTCATCGACAGATAAAGCTGTGTGTCATCTGCATAGCAGTGGAAATTAATTCCATGCTTTTTAATAATGTTTCCCAGTGGCAGCATGTAGAGAGTAAAAAGAATCGGTCCGAGTACCGAACCCTGCGGCACACCGAATTCCACTCCAGAATAAGGCTACGAGTCCTGATTCACATTGACGAAGTGATATCGATCTGATAAATAGGATTTAAACCAGCCAAGGGCTGTTCCTCTAAGACCTATATCACATTCTAGCCTCTGCAGTAGAATGCTGTGGTCTATTGTGTCAAATGCAGCACTAAGGTCCAGTAGGACCAGCACTGACACTTGTCCATTATCGGCAGCTAGTAGTAAGTCATTTGTGACTTTGACTAGTGCCGTTTCAGTGCTATGATGAGCTCTGAATCCTGATTGAAAGACTTCAAACATATCATTTTCCTGCAGGTGGCAGCGGAGCTGCTCAGCTATAAGTTTTTCCAGTTTTTTATGGTTCTGTTATGGTGCTGTTATGGCTCTGTTATGGCTCTGTTATAGTTCTGTTATGGTGCTGTTATGGTGCTGTTATGGCTCTGTTATAGTTCTGTTATGGCTCTGTTATAGTTCTGTTATGGTTCTGTTATGGTGCTGTTATGGTTCTGTTATGGTTCTGTTATGGCTCTGTTATAGTTCTGTTATGGTGCTGTTATAGTTCTGTTATGGTGCTGTTATGGTTCTGTTTATGGCTCTGTTATAGTTCTGTTATGGCTCTGTTATGGCTCTGTTATGGCTCTGTTATAGTTCTGTTATGGTGCTGTTATAGTTCTGTTATGGCTCTGTTATGGTTCTGTTATGGCTCTGTTATGGCTCTGTTATGGCTCTGTTATGGCTCTGTTATGGCTCTGTTATGGCTCTGTTATGGCTCTGTTATGGCTCTGTTATGGCTCTGTTATGGCTCTGTTATGGTTCTGTTATGGTTCTGTTATGGTTCTGTTATGGCTCTGTTATGGTTCTGTTATGGTTCTGTTGTGGTGCTGTTATGGTTCTGTTATGGCTCTGTTATGGCTCTGTTATGGCTCTGTTATGGCTCTGTTATAGTTCTGTTATGGTTCTGTTATGGCTCTGTTATAGTTCTGTTATGGCTCTGTTATGGTTCTGTTATGGTGCTGTTATAGTTCTGTTATGGTGCTGTTATAGTTCTGTTATGGTGCTGTTATAGTTCTGTTATGGCTCTGTTATGGCTCTGTTATGGCTCTGTTATGGCTCTGTTATGGTTCTGTTATGGTTCTGTTATGGTGCTGTTATGGCTCTGTTATGGCTCTGTTATGGCTCTGTTATAGTTCTGTTATGGTGCTGTTATGGTTCTGTTATGGCTCTGTTATAGTTCTGTTATGGCTCTGTTATAGTTCTGTTATGGTGCTGTTATGGTTCTGTTATGGTTCTGTTATGGCTCTGTTATAGTTCTGTTATGGTGCTGTTATAGTTCTGTTATGGCTCTGTTATGGCTCTGTTATGGCTCTGTTATGGCTCTGTTATAGTTCTGTTATGGTGCTGTTATAGTTCTGTTATGGCTCTGTTATGGTTCTGTTATGGCTCTGTTATGGCTCTGTTATGGCTCTGTTATGGCTCTGTTATGGCTCTGTTATGGCTCTGTTATGGCTCTGTTATGGTTCTGTTATGGCTCTGTTATAGTTCTGTTATGGCTCTGTTATGGTTCTGTTATGGTGCTGTTATGGTGCTGTTATGGTTCTGTTATGGCTCTGTTATGGCTCTGTTATGGCTCTGTTATGGCTCTGTTATGGCTCTGTTATGGCTCTGTTATGGCTCTGTTATGGCTCTGTTATGGTTCTGTTATGGTTCTGTTATGGTTCTGTTATGGCTCTGTTATGGCTCTGTTATGGTTCTGTTATGGTGCTGTTATGGTGCTGTTATGGTTCTGTTATGGCTCTGTTATGGCTCTGTTATGGCTCTGTTATAGTTCTGTTATGGTTCTGTTATGGCTCTGTTATAGTTCTGTTATGGCTCTGTTATGGCTCTGTTATGGTTCTGTTATGGTGCTGTTATGGTGCTGTTATGGTTCTGTTATGGCTCTGTTATGGTTCTGTTATGGTTCTGTTATGGCTCTGTTATGGCTCTGTTATAGTTCTGTTATGGTTCTGTTATGGTTCTGTTATGGCTCTGTTATGGCTCTGTTATGGTTCTGTTATGGTGCTGTTATGGTTCTGTTATGGCTCTGTTATGGCTCTGTTATGGTTCTGTTATGGTTCTGTTATGGTTCTGTTATGGCTCTGTTATGGCTCTGTTATGGTTCTGTTATGGCGTCAGTACACAGTTTATATAGTCATTGTCACGTCACACATCGAAAGACGTGTCACACAGAGACAGTCACATCATAGTCAAAATAATCAGAGTCCTTGTAGAGTCCTGCACGTAGGCCATATTGCTATCTAATCCTAACACTACACTGCAAAAAGTAATCACATTGGTCACATTCTGTCTTAAAACCAGATTTGCCAATGGGGTAAAAGCAAAATTATGTTGGTTTAAAATGATTCAGGAAATGTCTCGCTTGGAATGAGACAATAACGCAACAGTTCTTGACAAACACATGTACGAACGAAAGTAATGGAAGTTGAATTCACCAGCTTTACTCAGACATAACTAGAACAGATTAAGGAGAAAATGTTGCTGGTGGGTGAATTGAAGAAACTAATGGTATATTTCCCGTGACCGTGTGTGACCCTGTGTTTGTCCCGGTGGCTGTGTGTCTTTGATGCACAGAGAAGATAAAGCTTTTTGTATATTTGGAGCGGCCTCTAAACATACACGTTGTCCTGTGTAATGATACAGCCACTCTCCACGTCACGGTCCCCCACTGGGAGAAGGGGCAAAACCCACAGACCACACTGCTCCGCGCTCCTCGCCATTGTTCTGCCTCATTCTCATACTTTCATCTTTTCTAAGACTGCTGATTTTTTTGTCAAACTTCCCTCTATACGATTGAGGATTACAGGAGAACAAAACTAGCCAGAAACAACATATTTTTGCTGATGAAAGAAGACAGTCCAGTCTTTCAGAATCTGGTTTTATATTTCTCATAGTCATAGCACATAATATTCTGTGGGTCTTGAAAGGCAGTCAAATCATCAAAAAACAGCTGGCAGTCAATGAGTTAATGAGCTACTTCTTTCACATTTATTTTTAACCTGAGGCCTCGTATGTAGAAACATATATGTCAGTTTTAACTCAATTCATTTCATTCTTGTAAATCACTACATTAGTTATTACAAAACCGTCGAATTATCCCAAAGTGATCAGTTCAAACGCAAGAAATGCACTGATAGAAAACACATAGAGCCTTTGGTCCATAAGGGGCTGATGTAGAAGCTGGAGTTCCTTAACTTTAACCTAACTAGAAACCGCTAGGTCTGGGAAAAAATTACAAATCGCAATATTAGGAGAAAATATGATACTAACGATAGAAGGCCCAGATGGTAGCACCGTGCCGCCATCTTGGTTTGGTTTGGAGGCAGGTTTCTTCAAAATCATACTGTATATTGTCGAAGAAATCTCAATGCAGGTCGTCCCGAGGTTTCTCACTTTCTCAGGAGGGTCTAAGGACATTTCTGGACATTGGTCATCCTTCCCCTCATGGACCAATGGCTCTGTGCTGTTTTTTTTTTGCGTTCCAAATTTGCACCATAAGATCCGATACAATAAGGAAGAGTAGAGGTGAAACAGGGATGTATCAGTAGTATCAGTATTTTCCGACGTGAGCAGAATCTTCCCTTGTGGCCAGGGTTCTGAAAGAGTCTTTAACTCTGAGGGATGTGATGCAGTCATTTGTGGTGCGCAGCTAAAAGCAGGTCTGAGACGGACAGGGTTTTCCACAGGTGCCGTCTGTGCGATAATGTGCTATTCTTGACTGTTCTTGGTTCTGCTCGACAAATGGTATGGATCATAGACTGTATATAGATGGACAATGCTAACCCGCTAGCTCAATGAAACCCAATAGGGAAGACTCCAACTCGCTCCAGCTCCCACTGACCCACATTAAATTGTAAACTTTATGATTTAGCGCTCTCTATGATCCCGGTGTTTATAATTTGATATTAGATAGATTTATCATTTATTATTATTACAGACACAAAGTCCAGATTAACGGAGACACGGCCATGTTTTATTGTGTTTGTAAATGAGCCATAAAAGGAAACATCGTGCCTTAGCAACCATCTTTAAGTATTATGCATTGGTTTTATGCAGCGCTTTTCAGGACACTCAAAGACACTTCTCATCATTTATTCTTTCACTCCATGCACAGTGGTGATAAACTACTACTGTAGCCACAGCTGCCCTGGGGCACACTGAGAGAAGCGAGGCAACCAGTCTGTGCCATTAGCCCCTCCCACCACCACCAACCATTCACACACACACCAGACTCATTCTAATTGTCATTCGAAGTGTCTTGCCTAAGGACACAACCACAGTTTGGCAGTTTGGGCGGCACGGTGGCTGAGTGGATAGCACTCTCGCCTCTCAGCAAGAAGGTCCTGGGTTCGAATCCCGGTCGGACCAGGGCCTTTCTGAGTGGAGTTTGCATGTTCTCCCCGTGTCTGCGTAGGTTTCCTCCGGGTACTCCGGTTTCCCCTACCACTAAAAATATGTCCAATAGTTCTAGCATGTGCCTCCTGTACTGGCCCCTCCCATCTCTGTGTGGAGAGAGAGACAAATGCCCAAAATTAACAATTGTAAACCGCTTTGAGACTCAGATCTGCAGTGAAAAGGCGGTATATAAATAAAGATTACTACTACTACTACTACTTCGCAGCCGCCCCACTGTGGCACCTGGTGTTCCCTGAGGTCTCTCATCTCGGTACTAACCACGCCCTGCCATGCTTAGCTTCAGATGTCTGACGGGATCTGGCTTTCCCCTGCAGCTATGGCCATCTTAGCAACACATTTTGCTACCGGGCGGCACGGTAGCTGAATGGATAGCACTCTCGCTTCTCAGCAAGAAGGTCTTGGGTTCAGGGCCTTTCTGAGTGGAGTTTGCATGTCCTCAACGTGTCTGCATAGGTTTACTCCGAGTGCTCCGGTTTCCCCTACAACTACCTCCTGTTCTGGGCCCGCTCCCATCTCTGTGTGGAGTTAGAGACTAATGCCCACAATTGTAAACCGCTTTGACTCTGGTCTGTGAAAGGCGCTAAAAGCTAACACCAAAGAACCACTGCCCATCATAATTGGCTCCGTTTAGCACTCACCCCAATGTTAGCTTTATGCTAGTCCACTTCATGTCAGTCCACTGCTAATGTACAGTCTATGGTTTAGAGGTCTTGGCATTGTACCCAGTCTCGCAGTTGTAGTGTTGTTGTGTAACTTTAGCTAGGTTTGTGCGCTGGTGTCTGTCTAGTATCTGCTGCGTTTGGTTGTTTGTCTGCTGAGATATAGACAGGTTCCCGGACTCTCACCGTGTCCGACCACACTGCTACAGCCTCCTGTGTGTGTTTGATTTGTGTGTTGGTTAGTGTGGTGCTGGGCAGGGGGCCAGTGAAGGTCCCGCCCAGCCGGCCCCGCCACACTGAGCCCAGGGGCCGGAGCAGCAGCGTGTGAAATGGACACATCACTCAATATAAAACGTCCAACACATTCGTTCGCTGTAAACAACCTACACAGGAAGTGCCGTGCAAAAGGTTTCATACTCCTATGTTTACGTTTAAGATTAAGAGAAATGTCAGTGTTGCATCACCAGTCACAGACAGTAGTAATCACACAGCACAAGATAAATTAATAACTCAAAAACTAAAATCACATCAAATCGCTAACTTTATTATGCTAATGATAGATTTTATACTTGCTTCTTTCTTATAGTAAATAAGCAAGTATAAAATCTAACTTTAGCGTAAACATAATAAAGAGGCAAGCATAAAATCTTAGTATATTAAAGAAGCAAGTATGATTGTTTTTTTTGTTATCCTTAAATAAAAATATAAAAAACAGTATATTCTATCGCAAGAAATATGAGGTTATATTTGTGAATAATGTGTATGTGTGTGTGAGCCTGAATAGAAGAAAAGTCTATGTTTAGTTTGAATTATAATGCATTGTTTTTATAAAGTGCTTTTCAAGACACTCATAGACAGTTGCAGACAAATGTGAAGTAAATGAAAAATTATATTAAACTGAAACGGTGTGAATTGTAAAACTAGTCATCTCCCATTAGTCGTAAGAAGAAACCTGGAGCTGCACATCCAGAGGCAGAAATGTGTGTCCTATTCTTCTTTGCACAACAGCTCAGATTGCAGTGCAGTGTGAAAGTGTTGTAGTCGGTCGGACAGGTCGGGACTTTGACTGGGCGGTTCTGACTGAGTAGGTCTTGGTTTAAAGCCCAAGCCTCAAGTCTTTTGCAGATTCCAACAAGATTGTCCAGTGTTTTGCTCCATCCACCTATTTTTACACTGCTTTCTCTCCAGACATGATGGTGACAAGTATCAGAGCAAACCTAACAACAACAAGGAACACATGCAATGATAAAAAACACATAGAGCCTTTGGTCCATAAAGGAGAAGATACCAATGTCTATAAGTTTAAACAAATGTCCATAAATGTTCTTAGATGTGGAGTGTTCTGGATCATCTCGACTGTCGTTAGACTCTCTCCATCTCCAAGGAAAAACTCAGTGCGAGAAAAGTGAGAAATCTTGGAGTCCCACTTTTAACCTTCCCAGTCTATTATGAAATTCACAAATCTTTCCCAAAAATTTTCAACAGTTTATAAGATTAGGATAAAGATTAAGACATCCTTGATTGGTCCTCTCTGTGATGATACTACTGTACACGTTAGCATCATGAGGCTCTGGGCTAAACGTGACAAAAGTGACACATGTGGACCAGATTGTACATTCAACAGGATACTGGACAAAGAACAATTCTATACTCGTTTGTGTTTCTATTGAGACTCGCTCGTCACTCTTTGTCCACGGACCTAAAGTTTTTACAGCTGGGTTTTTGTCGCCATCTACTGGCTAAAATGGGTTTCACCTCAGGATTGTATATTAGTGGTGCTGTATAATCCGTGCCAGCAGGGGGCGGTAGATCTATTCTACACATGAACTTGGTGTTACAACGTCAGAAGAATGACAAAATATATGTTTGTTATTTAACAGGAAAGTCCCATTGTAATTAAGAACCTCTTTTTCAAGGGAGTCCAGAACAAGAGGCAGCCGGTAAAGTAAAGTGAAGGCATGGATCTATTATATAACGAGTAAAGGTCTTATATAGATTTAATCAACCTAATATTGGTGTTAAATTTCTATTCCATCTAATTGTTCTGTAAAGAGGGGTTGGCTTTATTTGAGTTTTACTTCTACATTCTCATTTTCAAATCTCTAACTTCCAATGTTTTGAAATGCTTATAAGGTATACACATTTTTTAATAACAACATGAACATTGTCTTATAGTTTTATGACTATAACGACCACCTATAGACTGCATACAGATTGACGATGCTAACCCGCTAGCTTCAATGATGCCCATTAGGGAAGTGCTCATAGACAAAGTTTTGCTCTGGCTCCTGTAGACTTGTGTCGAACTCACCATTTTGAGCTTAATACATCTGTGATTTGACCCTCTACGCTTCTGGTGTTTTTGGAGTTTGCATGTTCTCCATGTGTCCGTCTAGGTTTTCTCCAGGTGCTCCGTTTTCTCCAACCACTAAAAAAAAATGTACAATAGAAATTAATGTAATGAGTTTCTGAATACCTGAACTCCAAAAACATTCTAAAACATTGTGGGTGACCTTGGTCTGTGAAATATATATATAAAAAGAAAACTTACTTGCTGTTTATTGTAAATACAGGTATGAGCAATATAAAGATCGACCAATCACATGCCTCCATTTGCCGGGAAAACTGCTGCTTGTCTTAGCAACCGCTTTAGTAATTTGTACACTGAATAATAAATGTACCATCTCTGCTAACACCTGTGTGCTGTCTTTGCAGAAGACGCTGGTACCTACTTCCCGTGTGTGAAGAGGGACCCGGGTCGGTACCTTCGGCCCTGCTCCGACTCGGTGAAGACCTGGCTCCGGAACATGAAGAGCGCCGGCAAAGTGCTGCTGCTCATCACCAGCTCCCACAGCGACTACTGCCGCCTCATCTGTGACCACGTGCTGGGGTGAGACTCCAGCCAGGAGCCTTAAACTAGGAGCCTTAAACTAGGAGCCTTAAACTAGGAGCCTTAAACTAGGAGCCTTAAACTAGGAGCCTTAAACTAGGAGCCTTAAACTAGGACCCTTAAACTAGGACCCTTAAACTAGGACCCTTAAACTAGGACCCTTAAACTAGGACCCTTAAACTAGGCCCCGTAAACCAGGACCATTAAACCAGGACCCTTAAACTAGGACCATTAAACCAGGACTCTTAAACTAGGACCCTTAAACTAGGACCCTTAAACTAGGCCCCGTAAACCAGGACCATTAAACCAGGACTCTTAAACTAGGACCCTTAAACTAGGACCCTTAAACTAGGACCCTTAAACTAGGCCCCGTAAACCAGGACCATTAAACCAGGACTCTTAAACTAGGACCATTAAACCAGGACCATTAAACCAGGACCCTTAAACTAGGACCATTAAACCAGGACCATTAAACCAGGACCCTTAAACTAGGACCATTAAACCAGGACTCTTAAACTAGGACCATTAAACCAGGACTCTTAAACTAGGAGCCTTAAACTAGGACCCTTAAACTAGGCCCCGTAAACCAGGACCATTAAACCATGACTCTTAAACTAGGACCATTAAACCAGGACTCTTAAACTAGGACCATTAAACTAGGACCCTTAAACTAGGACCATTAAACCAGGACTCTTAAACCAGGACTCTTAAACTAGGACTCTTAAACTAGGACCCTTAAACTAGGACCCTTAAACTAGGCCCCGTAAACCAGGACCATTAAACCAGGACTCTTAAACTAGGACCATTAAACTAGGACCCTTAAACTAGGACCCTTAAACTAGGACCATTAAAAGGACTCTTAAACCAGGACTCTTAAACTAGGACTCTTAAACTAGGACCCTTAAACTAGGACCCTTAAACTAGGCCCCGTAAACCAGGACCATTAAACCAGGACTCTTAAACTAGGACCATTAAACTAGGACCCTTAAACTAGGACCCTTAAACTAGGACCATTAAACCAGGACTCTTAAACCAGGACTCTTAAACTAGGACTCTTAAACTAGGACCCTTAAACTAGGACCCTTAAACTAGGCCCCGTAAACCAGGACCATTAAACCAGGACTCTTAAACTAGGACCATTAAACTAGGACCCTTAAACCAGGACCCTTAAACCGCAGTCGCCCCACTGTGGGACCTGCGTGTTTACCAAGCCCCGGCGATCCAAGATGGCGCCCTATTAAAATGAATGGTTGTGCTCAGTGGCGCTTTGTGACGGCATGGGGGCTGAAAGATTAGCGGAAGTTGCCTGAAACTCGCAAAGATCTCTGGGAAACTCGCCTGTATTTGGGCATCGTCTGGTCCTCCCGGTTCTGTGCAGTGGATGATCTCCCATGATGCTTTGCACCAAACATGCGTGTGTGGGTCTCACACCGGGTCTCACGCACGTGCACAGAGGGTCTCACGCACGTGCACAAAGGGGCTTGGCCGCGCTCTGACCAATCAGAGCAGTTCATCAGAGCGGGAGTTAGAGCGAGAGCCAGACGAGCAGAGTTTGTGGCACTAAAGTGTGGATTTAAACAAAACCGAAGGATTTAAGAAGAAAAAAAGTTCAGGATGACAAGGGACACTAAAATCCCCACAAAATCTGATCTTTATTAAAGCTGTAGGTTCTCTGTCAGGTTCTCTGTCAGCTGAGGTCGAGCTGTTTTAATATGCATCGAGTTCTATGGGGAAAATTTCTGGGTAGCCCACGTGAATTTAGTCTGGTTCAGTCTGGTTCAGTCTGCAGTACCGCGAGAATCCCCTGAGCACATGAGTTATTCAGCTACAAGCTAGTAATACCCTATCCAGTTAATATAATACATCCATGGTGTTTACCCAGAGGTCCCCCATCGCAGTACTCACCAAGCCCTGCCCTGCTTAGCTACAGAGGTCTGACGGAAGGCTGCTGGCGCCAACTATAAACCGTGACTATTCAAGTTCTTTTAACTAGGGCTGCACGATATTGTAAAACTAAAATATCTCTCACGTTAAATAATTATTTCTGTGTTTTTCCAGGAAGGACTGGGAGGAGCTTTTTGACGTCATCATCACGAACGCTCTGAAGCCAGGATTCTTCTCCCTGGTCCCACATCAGAGGCCCTTCAGGAACCTGGGTCAGTACCACAGACTGTATACACATGGACTATGCTAACACGCTAGCTCAACTAAACCCAACAAGGGAAGTGCTCGTGGAAGTTTTGCTCCAACTTGTAAACGTAAACTCTCTTTGTCTTTCCCCTTTGTAAATTGTTATGAGGTTTCCATTCATAATCCGGTTTACCTTAGCAACCACCTTAGCAACACTCCTGCCCCTGTTTCAGCATGAAGCTAACACGTCGGAAGAAATGCCCATATAAGGAAGTTGGCTCCAGCTAGCTTATGTCCAAATTGGCTTCTTCTGCATTAAGGCTAACGCTAGGGTGATGTCACACTCGGGCTGGCCCCTCTTGTTCCTGGCTCAGCTGTGGGAACGTTTCGTAGTTTGTCAAGTTCTGGTTTTCAAATCCTCATGACACAATGGTGGTTAGTTCCAAGGGCAGGGCACAAGTGTCTCATACAAACAGGAAGCAGGGAGTTCCAGCAATCCTTCAATTTAGAGAATAACTATTGTCAACGCCAGCTCGACCAAACCACTCCAGCTACTTTTACACTCAGTCCTGGGTCTACAGCCTCAGTCCTGGGTCTACAGCCTCAGTCCTGGGTCTACAGCCTCAGTCCTGGGTCTACAGCCTCAGTCCTGGGTCTACAGCCTCAGTCCTGGGTCTACAGCCTCAGTCCCGGGTCTACAGCCTCAGTCCCGGGTCTACAGCCTCAGTCCCGGGTCTACAGCCTCAGTCCCGGGTCTACAGCCTCAGTCCTGGGTCTACAGCCTCAGTCCTGGGTCTGCAGCCTCAGTCCTGGGTCTACAGCCTCAGTCCTGGGTCTGCAGCCTCAGTCCTGGGTCTACAGGCCCAGTCCTGGGTCTACAGCCTCAGTCCCGGATCTACAGCCTCAATCCTGGATCTACAGCCTCAGTCCTGGGTCTACAGCCTCAGTCCTGGGTCTACAGCCTCAGTCCTGGGTCTACAGTCTCAGTCCTGGATCTACAGCCTCAGTCCTGGATCTACAGCCTCAGTCCTGGGTCTACAGCCTCAGTCCTGGGTCTACAGCCTCAGTCCTGGGTCTACAGCCTCAGTCCTAGGTCTACAGCCTCAGTCCTGGGTCTACAGCCTCAGTCCTGGGTCTACAGCCTCAGTCCTGGGTCTACAGCCTCAGTCCTGGGTCTACAGCCTCAGTCCTGGGTCTACAGCCTCAGTCCTGGGTCTACAGCCTCAGTCCTGGGTCTACAGCCTCAGTCCTGGGTCTACATTCATGCATCATTCTCCCAATTTTTTCCATCATCTCGCTCCCAATGAACCAACGGCTCCTACGTCTTGTTTTGTGGTTCTCTGATCTGTTGTTGGCGACTCAACAATTTGGTCCAACATTAAAACCTGGCCCTGCTCTTGTGATTCAGGGCTATACAAAAATAAACGTATTTGAATATTAGTCAACCTCTAGTTTTTGCTTTTGCCGAGCTCAAACCTGGGAAAGGAACCCGCAGATTGAAGTTGCACCAACACATAATATTGACTCTGGATTCTGGCATCACATGTGTTGTTTTGGCGCCGGCTAAGTGGCTGTTGGTGCCCTGTGATGTCACAACACGGATTTGAGGAGCTTTCCCAGTGTCCTGGTTTAGGACCGGAGCCTGATTATGTGTACACGACTCTAAAGACATGTTTGTCATGTTTTCTCAAGAACTAAGCTCGAAATGGTCCGTTCTGCTTGTCTCAAAGTGTATCACATAATCTCGTCAACATTTAACTATTTAAGCTGAGATGTAGTCTGAATGTAGAGCCTGCACTTTTGTTTTGATCCCATTCTTCCTAGCTTGAACATAAGAATACAACCATTTTTAATAATTTAAGATGGATATCCTTTATACAACTCCGGATAAATGAACAATAACTCCATACATTTGTCAGACCCATCAGAAAGTATTCTCCCATCATCCTAAACCTACTTCAGTGAGCACTTATTTTTTGCGTTTACAATCCGTCCAATAATTAAAGTTCGGTCACACACATTTCGCATTTTTAAACAGTCGTGTTGTTACTATAGTTACCATAATTGCGGTACTATAAGCCGCTACTTTGTCCATGTTCTTTGAGTGTTTTCTAAGGCGCAGGAGAATTTGTACATAGATCAGCTGTTTATGTTTATGTGAACAGTAGAAAGAGCCTACGCGGGACTCGGCCTGATTCAGATGCGTCCTTAATGTGGACAAAATTGCGGTTAAAGATGCAGTCAGTGATTTTTTTTTTTACAGATTCATTTTTTTTTTTAAATATATATTATGGGAAAACGTCCCTAAACCCTAAAAGTATCAAGTTATCGTGTGTTTTCAAATAGTAATGGAATTGACCAGATGCTTATAGACGACAAAAAATAATAACAAATATTTTGGAGCGGGCCTATAAAAATAAACCAATGGGATTCATTCATCTCCAACGAACCAATGGGATGTGTTTACCGCCTTCACCCTCTTCCTGTTTCTCAGACTGCACCGGAGTTATCGGATTTTCTAAAACCTAAAATGGCTGAACAGAAAACGCCAATTTCAACGTTTGCTTCACTCTCCCTGTGACAGAGAAAAGAAAATGCTGGATGTTTGGTTTGGTGGAGAGAGGGAGGGGAGGGGGGAGTGGTTTGATGGAGAGGGAGGGGAGGGGGGAGTGGTTTGGTGGAGAGGGAAGGGAGGGGGGAGTGGTTTGGTGGAGAGGGAGGGGAGGGGGGAGTGGTTTGGTGGAGAGGGAGGGGAGGGGGGAGTGGTTTGGTGGAGAGGGAGGGGAGGGGGGAGTGGTTTGGTGGAGAGGGAGGGGAGGGGGAGTGGTTTGATGGAGAGGGAGGGGAGGGGGGAGTGGTTTGGTGGAGAGGGAGGGGAGGGGGGAGTGGTTTGGTGGAGAGGGAGGGGAGGGGGGAGGGGTTTCCAGTTGGTGCTACGGCTAAGCTAACAACATCGCTAACTGCACCTTTAATAGTCCAGGATGAACCAACGCTAACTCTGAGAAGCACAGGGACTAAACATGGAGGCAGCATTTCAGATTCATGCAGCTAACATCTTCTCTGACAATGTTAAGTTGTCTTGTGTATGAACTGTGCTATACAAATAACATGTGTTGTAAGTGGTCAGTGTGTTGTGTTTTCAGTGAACGACGTGGAGGAGAGCGAGGGCCTCCTGTCTCTGGACAAACCGGGCTGGTACTCTCAGGGAAACTGGCCTCATCTGCTGGAGCTCCTCAGATCTATCACAGGGACACAGGAGCCAAAGGTACACACTCCTCAAAACTATCACAGGGACACAGGAGCCAAAGGTACACACTCCTCAAAACTATCACAGGGACACAGGAGCCAAAGGTACACACTCCTCAAAACTATCACAGGGACACAGGAGCCAAAGGTACACGGTCCTCAAAACTATCACAGGGACACAGGAGCCAAAGGTACACACTCCTCAAAACTATCACAGGGACACAGGAGCCAAAGGTACACACTCCTCAAAACTATCACAGGGACACAGGAGCCAAAGGTACACGGTCCTCAAAACTATCACAGGGACACAGGAGCCAAAGGTACACGCTCCTCAAAACTATCACAGGGACACAGGAGCCAAAGGTACACGCTCCTCAAAACCATCACAGGGAAACAGGAGCCAAAGGTACACACTCCTCAAAACTATCACAGGGACACAGGAGCCAAAGGTACACACTCCTCAAAACTATCACAGGGACACAGGAGCCAAAGGTACACACTCCTCAAAACTATCACAGGGACACAGGAGCCAAAGGTACACGGTCCTCAAAACTATCACAGGGACACAGGAGCCAAAGGTACACGCTCCTCAAAACTATCACAGGGACACAGGAGCCAAAGGTACACGCTCCTCAAAACCATCACAGGGAAACAGGAGCCAAAGGTACACACTCCTCAAAACTATCACAGGGACACAGGAGCCAAAGGTATACGGTCCTCAAAACTATCACAGGGACACAGGAGCCATAGGTACACGCTCCTCATAACTATCACAGGGACACAGGAGCCAAAGGTACACGGTCCTCAAAACTATCACAGGGACACAGGAGCCAAAGGTACATGGTCCTCAAAACTATCAAAGGGACACAGGAGCCATAGGTACACGCTCCTCATAACTATCACAGGGACATAGGAGCCAAAGGTACACGCTCCTCAAAACCATCACAGGGAAACAGGAGCCAAAGGTACACTCTCCTCAAAACTATCACAGGGACACAGGAGCCAAAGGTACACACTCCTCAAAACTATCACAGGGAAACAGGAGCCAAAGGTACACACTCCTCAAAACTATCACAGGGACACAGGAGCCAAAGGTACACACTCCTCAAAACAATCACAGGGACACAGGAGCCAAAGGTACACGGTCCTCAAATCTATCACAGGAACACAGGAGCCAAAGGTACACGGTCCTCAAAACTATCACAGGGACACAGGAGCCAAAGGTACACACTCCTCAAAACCATCACAGGGACATAGGAGCCAAAGGTACACGCTCCTCAAAACCATCACAGGGAAACAGGAGCCAAAGGTACACTCTCCTCAAAACTATCACAGGGACACAGGAGCCAAAAGTACACACTCCTCAAAACAATCACAGGGACACAGGAGCCAAAGGTACACACTCCTCAAAACTATCACAGGGACACAGGAGCCAAAGGTACACACTCCTCAAAACAATCACAGGGACACAGGAGCCAAAGGTACACACTCCTCAAAACTATCACAGGGAAACAGGAGCCAAAGGTACACACTCCTCAAAACTATCACAGGGAAACAGGAGCCAAAGGTACACACTCCTCAAAACAATCACAGGGACACAGGAGCCAAAGGTACACACTCCTCAAAACTATCACAGGGACACAGGAGCCAAAGGTACACACTCCTCAAAACTATCACAGGGACACAGGAGCCAAAGGTACACACTCCTCAAAACAATCACGGGGACACAGGAGCCAAAGGTACACGCTCCTCAAAACTATCACAGCGACACAGGAGCCAAAGGTACACGCTCCTCAAAACTATCACAGGGACACAGGAGCCAAAAGTACACACTCCTCAAAACAATCACAGGGACACAGGAGCCAAAGGTACACACTCCTCAAAGCTATCACAGGGAAACAGGAGCCAAAGGTACACACTCCTCATAACTATCACAGGGAAACAGGAGCCAAAGGTACACACTCCTCAAAACAATCACAGGAAAACAGGAGCCAAAGGTACACGGTCCTCAAATCTATCACAGGAACACAGGAGCCAAAGGTACACACTCCTCAAAGCTATCACAGGGAAACAGGAGCCAAAGGTACACACTCCTCAAAACAATCACAGGGACACAGGAGCCAAAGGTACACACTCCTCAAAACAATCACGGGGACACAGGAGCCAAAGGTACACACTCCTCATAACTATCACAGGGAAACAGGAGCCAAAGGTACACGGTCCTCAAATCTATCACAGGAACACAGGAGCCAAAGGTACACGGTCCTCAAAACTATCACAGGGACACAGGAGCCAAAGGTACACACTCCTCAAAACTATCACAGGGACACAGGAGCCAAAGGTAAACGCCCCTCAAAACCATCACAGGGACACAGGAGCCAAAGGTACACACTCCTCAAAACAATCACAGGGACACAGGAGCCAAAGGTACACACTCCTCAAAACAATCACGGGGACACAGGAGCCAAAGGTACACACTCCTCAAAACAATCACAGGGACACAGGAGCCAAAGGTACACACTCCTCAAAACTATCACAGGGAAACAGGAGCCAAAGGTACACACTCCTCAAAACTATCACAGGGACACAGGAGCCAAAGGTATACACTCCTCAAAACTATCACAGGGACACAGGAGCCAAAGGTACACACTCCTCAAAACAATCACAGGGACACAGGAGCCAAAGGTACACACTCCTCAAAACTATCACAGGGACACAGGAGCCAAAGGTACACACTCCTCAAAACAATCACAGGGACACAGGAGCCAAAGGTACACACTCCTCAAAACAATCACGGGGACACAGGAGCCAAAGGTACACACTCCTCAAAACCATCACAGGGACACAGGAGCCAAAGGTACACACTCCTCAAAACTATCACAGGGACACAGGAGCCAAAGGTACACACTCCTCAAAACTATCACAGGGACACAGGAGCCAAAGGTACACGCTCCTCAAAACCATCACAGGGACACAGGAGCCAAAGGTACACGCTCCTCAAAACCATCACAGGGACACAGGAGCCAAAGGTACACACTCCTCAAAACTATCACAGGGACACAGGAGCCAAAGGTACACACTCCTCCAAACAATCACGGGGACACAGGAGCCAAAGGTACACACTCCTCAAGACCATCACAGGGACACAGGAGCCAAAGGTACACGCTCCTCAAAACCATCACAGGGACACAGGAGCCAAAGGTACACGCTCCTCAAAACCATCACAGGGACACAGGAGCCAAAGGTACACACTCCTCAAAACTATCACAGGGACACAGGAGCCAAAGGTACACACTCCTCCAAACAATCACGGGGACACAGGAGCCAAAGGTACACACTCCTCAAAACTATCACAGGGACACAGGAGCCATAGGTACACACTCCTCAAAACTATCACAGGGACACAGGAGCCATAGGTACACACTCCTCATAACTATCACAGGGACACAGGAGCCAAAAGTACACACTCCTCAAAACAATCACAGGAAAACAGGAGCCAAAGGTACACACTCCTCAAAACTATCACAGGGAAACAGGAGCCAAAGGTACACACTCCTCAAAACTATCACAGGGACACAGGAGCCAAAGGTACACACTCCTCAAAACTATCACAGGGACACAGGAGCCAAAGGTACACACTCCTCAAAACTATCACAGGGAAACAGGAGCCAAAGGTACACACTCCTCAAAACTATCACAGGGACACAGGAGCCAAAGGTACACACTCCTCAAAACTATCACAGGGACACAGGAGCCATAGGTACACACTCCTCAAAACTATCACAGGGACACAGGAGCCATAGGTACACACTCCTCAAAACTATCACAGGGACACAGGAGCCATAGATACACACTCCTCAAAACTATCACAGGGACACAGGAGCCATAGGTACACGCTCCTCAAAACTATCACAGGGACACAGGAGCCATAGGTACACGCTCCTCAAAACTATCACAGGGACACAGGAGCCATAGGTACACGCTCCTCATAACTATCACAGGGACACAGGAGCCATAGGTACACGCTCCTCATAACTATCACAGGGACACAGGAGCCATAGGTACACGGTCCTCAAAACTATCACAGGGACACAGGAGCCATAGGTACACGCTCCTCAAAACTATCACAGGGACACAGGAGCCAAAGGTACACGGCCCTCAAAACTATCACAGGGACACAGGAGCCAAAGGTACACACTCCTCAAAACTATCACAGGGAAACAGGAGCCAAAGGTACACGGTCCTCAAAACTATCACAGGGACACAGGAGCCAAAGGTACACGGTCCTCAAAACTATCACAGGGACACAGGAGCCAAAGGTACACGCTCCTCAAAACTATCACAGGGAAACAGGAGCCAAAGGTACACGGTCCTCAAAACTATTACAGGGACACAGGAGCCAAAGGTACACGCTCCTCAAAACTATCACAGGGACACAGGAGCCATAGGTACACACTCCTCAAAACAATCACAGGGACACAGGAGCCAAAGGTACACACTCCTCAAAACAATCACAGGGACACAGGAGCCAAAGGTACACGCTCCTCAAAACTATCACAGGGAAACAGGAGCCAAAGGTACACACTCCTCAAAACAATCACAGGGACACAGGAGCCAAAGGTACACGGTCCTCAAAACTATCACAGGGAAACAGGAGCCAAAGGTACACACTCCTCAAAACAATCACAGGGACACAGGAGCCAAAGGTACACGCTCCTCAAAACTATCACAGGGAAACAGGAGCCAAAGGTACACGCTCCTCAAAACTATCACAGGGAAACAGGAGCCAAAGGTACACGCTCCTCAAAACTATAACAGGGAAACAGGAGCCAAAGGTACACACTCCTCAAAACTATCACAGGGACACAGGAGCCAAAGGTACACGCTCCTCAAAACTATCACAGGGAAACAGGAGCCAAAGGTACACGCTCCTCAAAACTATCACAGGGACACAGGAGCCAAAGGTACACGGTCCTCAAAACTATTACAGGGACACAGGAGCCAAAGGTACACGCTCCTCAAAACTATCACAGGGACACAGGAGCCATAGGTACACACTCCTCAAAACTATCACAGGGACACAGGAGCCAAAGGTACACGGTCCTCAAAACTATCACAGGGACACAGGAGCCAAAGGTACACGGTCCTCAAAACTATCACAGGGACACAGGAGCCAAAGGTACACGGTCCTCAAAACTAGTAGAGAGTTGACACAGTGTTGTTGGAGCGTGTCACACTCTGGTGCCGCACACACAGCGGACGTGAAGTGCGTTTTAGCAGAGTGTGTGAGGTCAGAGGCACCTAGAGCTAGTCTCTCTGGTCTCTCTCTCTCTCTCTCTCTCTCTCTCTCTCTGGTCTCTCTCTCTCTCTCTCTCTCTCTCTCTCTCTCTGGTCTCTCTCTCTCTCTAGTTCCTCTGGTGTCTCTCTGGTCTCTCACTATTTCTCTGGTCTCTCTCTCTCTGGTCTCTCTCTCTCTGGTCTCTCTCTCTGGTCTCTCTGGTCTCTCTCTGGTCTCTCTCTCTCTGGTCTCTCTCTGGTCTCTCTCGTCTCTCTCTGGTCTCTCTCTGGTCTCTCTCTGGTCTCTCTCTCTGGTCTCTCTCTCTGGTCTCTCTCTGGTCTCTCTCTCTGGTCTCTCTCTCTGGTCTCTCTCTGGTCTCTCTCTGGTCTCTCTCTGGTCTCTCTCTCTGGTCTCTCTCTGGTCTCTCTCTGGTCTCTCTCTAGTCTCGGGGGCAGAATGAAATCCGATTGTTGTGCAAAGAACTGTAAATGCATGTTCCAGCAGGTCAGCCTGAATGAAGTCGGTGCTGTTTTCAAGAGTGAAACAAAAAGTTAAGAAAGTAGAGACCTGTTTAGAACCTTTTATGATTTCTGTGATGATTTGTTCAAACGCCCGAAAGATAAAAGTGGAGGATATATAATTATAGTGTTGTGGACTTAGTTTTGCACACATGGTCCTTTTGAAGTTACACAGAAACACATCAGACTTATGCTATCGCAGAAATCTCTTACAAACCACACTCTTTCTAGTAAAGCCTCCACATCATCACTCCTCACCCCTCCGCACCCTCACTCACCCCCCCTCCCCTTTCAGTGCAGGTCAATGGGCGTCTGTTTAAGCCAGGTTCAGGACTGTGGAATGTGCCGTGAGCTGCTCTCAGATGACCCTGGGCTTTCTCCATTTCCACTGGTCTCTCTGTGGCACCGTGTTACTGTTGACATCATGACTTTGGATTTGAATTAGTGATCTCTCTCTCTGGTCTCTCCCTTTTCTCTCTCTTTTTTTCTCTCTCCCTGGTCTCTCTGGTGTCTCTCTTGTCTCTCTCTGGTCTCTCTGGTCTCTCTCTTGTCTCTCTCTGGTGTCTCTCTCTGGTCTCTCTCTTGTCTCTGGTGTCTCTCTTGTCTCTCTGGTCTCTCTGGTGTCTCTCTGGTCTCTGGTGTCTCTCTGGTCTCTGGTGTCTCTCTGGTGTCTCTCTGGTGTCTCTCTGGTGTCTCTCTGGTCTCTCTGGTGTCTCTCTTGTCTCCCGTTGCCCTCAGTTCTGCTCCTGCCCCTCAGTGTCCTCTGCAGCTGTATTATACATTGTATGCATGGCTTTTGACAGCTGCAGCCGTGCTCAGACCAACAACCAACAAGTTTGATCTCTCTGGCCTCTCCCTCTGGCCTCTCCCTCTAGCATCTCTCTCTGGCCTCTCTCTCTGGCCTCTCTCTGGTCTCTCTCTGGCCTCTCTCTCTGGCCTTTCTCTCTCTCTGGCCTTTCTCTCTCTCTGGCCTTTCTCTCTCTCTGACCTCTCTCTGGTCTCTCTCTGGTCTCTCTCTGGCCTCTCTCTCTGGCCTTTCTCTCTCTCTGGCCTCTCTCTGGTCTCTCTCTGGCCTCTCTCTCTGGCCTCTCTGGCCTCTCTCTCTGGCCTCTCTGGTCTCTCTCTGACCTCTCTCTGGTCTCTCTCTGGTCTCTCTCTGGCCTCTCTGGTCTCTCTCTGACCTCTCTCTGGTCTCTCTCTGGTCTCTCTCTCTCTCTCTCTCTGGCCTTTCTCTCTCTCTGGCCTCTCTCTGGTCTCTCTCTGGCCTCTCTCTCTGGCCTCTCTGGCCTCTCTCTCTGGCCTCTCTGGTCTCTCTCTGGCCTCTCTCTCTCTCTGGCCTCTCTCTCTCTCTGGTCTTTCTCTGGCCTCTCTCTCTCTCTGGCCTCTCTCTGGTCTCTCTCTGTCCTCTCTCTCTGGCCTCTCTCTCTGGCCTCTCTCTCTGGTATCTCTCTGGCCTCTCTCTCTCTCTGGCCTCTCTCTCTGGTCTCTCTCTGGCCTCTCTCTCTGGTCTCTCTCTGGCCTCTCTCTCTGGCCTCTCTCTCTCTCTGGCCTCTCTCTCTCTCTGGCCTCTCTCTGGTCTCTCTCTGGCCTCTCTCTCTGGCCTCTCTCTCTGGCCTCTCTCTCTGGTCTCTCTCTGGCCTCTCTCTCTGGCCTCTCTCTCTCTCTGGCCTCTCTCTCTGGTCTCTCTCTGGCCTCTCACTCTGGCCTCTCTCTCTGGCCTCTCTCTCTCTCTGGTCTCTCTCTCTCTGGCCTCTCTCTCTCTCTGGTCTCTCTCTCTCTCTGGCCTCTCTCTCTCTGGCCTCTCTCTCTCTCTGGTCTCTCTCTCTCTCTGGCCTCTCTCTCTGGTCTCTCTCTCTGGCCTCTCTCTCTGGTCTCTCTCTCTGGCCTCTCTCTCTGGTCTCTCTCTGGTCTCTCTCACTTCAGCAGTCATGAGTTCAGGTGTGTGAGGGGTTTGACAGCCTTAACACATGCATCGACTACTTCAAGGCTTTCACTCATTAATTCTCTCACTCCAAAAACAAACGCAATTCTCTCTTGTGACTTTAACTCTTGGATCATTCTTTCCCAGTAACAACACATCCGTCAGCAGCGTATGAGAGGTTCTTTCAGTGTGAGCAGGCCTCGGACTCCACACAGACCCCACACAGACCCCACACAATGGCACCTCTTTCACCTGGTTCCAGCACTTACGGCTCCGGAGCGATAAGCTGAGAGCCGGGGCCCCATCTGTGTCAACACTGTCATCTGCTGCACACACTTACCTCAGGCTCAACTGGAGAATGGAATTAAAAACATAATTATTCTCTTGTCAAAAGGACTGTAGTCGGGAGTTGGGGGTGTGGATGGGAGGAGGGGGGGGATGAAGTTTATTTGCGACATCACAAAGTTCTGGCCTCAGGTCCACATTCTATGAAATGGGTTTGGAGAAACTTACAACCAATGTATTTATGCAGTCCATGTGGGGATGACATCAAGGGGCACTACCGTCTCTCTCTGCTCTCTCTCTGGTCTCTCTCTCTGGTCTCTCTCTCTCTGGTCTCTCTCTCTGGTCTCTCTCTCTCTGGCCTCTCTCTCTGGTCTCTCTCTCTGGCCTCTCTCTGGCCTCTCTCTCTGGTCTCTCTCTCTCTGGCCTCTCTCTGGTCTCTCTCTCTCTGGCCTCTCTCTCTGGCCTCTCTCTCTGGCCTCTCTCTCTGGCCTCTCTCTCTCTGGCCTCTCTCTCTGGCCTCTCTCTCTGGTCTCTCTCTCTCTGGTCTCTCTCTCTCTGGCCTCTCTCTGGTCTCTCTCTCTCTGGCCTCTCTCTCTGGCCTCTCTCTGGCCTCTCTCTGGCCTCTCTCTCTGGCCTCTCTCTGGCCTCTCTCTCTGGCCTCTCTCTGGTCTCTCTCTCTCTGGCCTCTCTCTCTGGCCTCTCTCTCTGGCCTCTCTCTCTGGCCTCTCTCTGGTCTCTCTCTCTGGCCTCTCTCTCTGGTCTCTCTCTCTGGCCTCTCTCTCTGGTCTCTCTCTCTGGTCTCTCTCTCTGGTCTCTCTCTCTGGTCTCTCTCTCTGGTCTCTCTCTCTGGTCTCTCTCCCTGGTCTCTCTCTCTCTGGTCACTTTTTTACCACTATAGGTTTTTTGGCTGCTTCCTTGCCTTTGCCGATGCAGAATGGTCTTAAAGACAGTGATGATCCATAGCATTTCAGGCAGTACTAACAGTATTTTTGGTCCACATGTAAACCTCACTATAATTTATACTTATACATGTACAGAATATAAACCTTGAATATACTACTGTACTCTCCGCCTCGTCCGATTCTTACGGCAAAGTCGTCTAATGTCTCCGGCTGAAGAACACCTCTTGGACAGTAACGGAGGCAAACTGTAATCTGTGGCCTGTGTAAATATTTATCAGAGAGATCTCAGACTTACGGAGGCTACCGGCAGCTGTGGGACCTTTTTTGTGTGTGTGTGTGTGTGTGTGTGTGTGTGTGTGTGTGTGTGTGTGTGTGTGTGTGTGTGTGTGTGTGTGTGTGTGTGTGTGTGTGTGTGTGTGTGTGTGTGTGTGTGTGTGTGTGTGTGTGTGTGTGTGTGTGTGTGTGTGTGTGTGTGTGTGTGTGGTCTGACACAGGCTGTTCTGTCACTAACTGCTACTGGAATGCCTCACATCCCTTTTATAGACATGTCAGACAGAGAACAGAGCCTGCTGGGATCTCCTCTAAATGCAAACCGCAGAAAAGGTTTTGGAATCATAGTTTTTCAATCATAGTCAAGAAAAGATGAGATAAACGTTATTGTCGCCACAGGAAACAGATCTATTACTGAAAGAATAATCTGTATCAGTCTGAGTGAGAGTTCAAGGAGATGGTTTTGTTGACCTTTAGACTGTACTTTATCGTAAACGGGTGATTTTAACCCACCGGAGATTTATTTCTGGTTTTCAGAGTTTAGTAACTACGGCTATCATTTGGCTGCAGGGTTGTTAGCTCAGCGGTTAGCATCTTTGGTTCATACTAAGTTTTTTGCCAGTTGCTTCAAACAAAATGAGCCAAATAGAACAGAATGGGAATGCGCGGCCTGTTCGAGCTAGTGCTAATCGGCTTCATTAACGCTAGCTAATTTAGTTTATACCCAGTCATAACACTGCTAACGATATCCGTGAATTCATATTTTAAACACAATCTAACTACTTCCTTTTCTCACTCATGCCTAAAAGTGAGGTACCCCAGCTTTAAAAGTGTATTCCAGCCGCTCTGCTCCACGTGTCGTTGCTCTGGCTCATTTCCTGCGCTCGAACAAGGCGCTAATAATCTCACTGTTTACTTTCTCATTCCTCACTTCATTTTTCCTCTCCATGAACTTTACTGACGACAGCTCGGATTGGATGTCGGCCGGAGGGGTTGGCTGCAGACTTGCCCCGGCCTGCTCCTCCTGCTGCTCCTCCTCCTGCACCTCCTGCTGCTGATCCTCCTGCTGCTGCTGCTGCTCCTGGATGACTTTAGACTCCTCTAACTTTCTCCTCTGTCTTTAGACTCCTGTCTTTAGACTCCTGTCTTTCTCCTCCTGTCTTTCTCCTCCTCTGTCTTTCTCCTGTCTTTCTCCTGTCTTTCTCCTCTGTCTTTAGACTCCGATGTCTTTTCTCCTCCTGTCTTTCTCCTCCTGTCTTTCTCCTGTCTTTCTCCTCCTCTGTCTTTCTCCTCCTCTGTCTTTCTCCTCCTGTCTTTCTCCTCTGTCTTTAGACTCCGATGTCTTTCTCCTCCTGTCTTTCTCGTCCTCTGACTTTCTCCTCCTGTCTTTCTCCTCCTCTGTCTTTCTCCTCCTCTGTCTTTAGACTCCGATGTCTTTCTCCTCCGTCTTTCTCCTCCTCTGTCTTTCTCCTCCGTCTTTCTCCTCCTCCTGTCTTTCTCCTCCTCCGTCTTTCTCCTCCTCCTGTCTTTCTCCTCCTCCTGTCTTTCTCCTCCTCCGTCTTTCTCCTCCTCCTGTCTTTCTCCTCCTCCGTCTTTCTCCTCCTCTGTCTTTAGACTCCGATGTCTTTCTCCTCCTCTGTCTTTCTCCTCCTCTGTCTTTCTCCTCCTCTGTCTTTCTCCTCCTCTGTCTTTAGACTCCGATGTCTTTCTCCTCCTCCGTCTTTCTCCTCCTCCGTCTTTCTCCTCCTCCGTCTTTCTCCTCCTCTGTCTTTCTCCTCCTGTCTTTCTCCTCCTGTCTTTCTCCTCTTGTCTTTCTCCTCCTGTCTTTCTCCTCCTGTCTTTCTCCTCCTCTGACTTTCTCCTCCTCTGAATTTCTCCTCCTCCGTCTTTCTCCTCCTGTCTTTCTCCTCCTCTGTCTTTCTCCTCCTCTGACTTTCTCCTCCTCTGACTTTCTCCTCCTCTGTCTTTCTCCTCCTGTCTTTCTCCTCCTGTCTTTCTCCTCCTCTGTCTTTCTCCTCCTCTGTCTTTCTCCTCCTCTGTCTTTCTCCTGTCTTTCTCCTCTGTCTTTAGACTCCGATGTCTTTCTCCTCCTGTCTTTCTCCTCCTCTGTCTTTCTCGTCCTGTCTTTCTCCTCCTCTGTCTTTCTCCTCCTCTGTCTTTCTCCTCCTCTGTCTTTCTCCTCCTGTCTTTCTCCTCCTCTGACTTTCTCCTCCTCTGACTTTCTCCTCCTCTGACTTTCTCCTCCTCTGTCTTTCTCCTCCTCTGTCTTTCTCCTCCTCTGTCTTTAGACTCCGATGTCTTTCTCGTCCTCTGACTTTCTCCTCTGTCTTTCTCGTCCTCTGACTTTCTCCTCCTGTCTTTCTCCTCCTCTGACTTTCTCCTCCTCTTTCTCCTCCTGTCTTTCTCCTCTGTCTTTCTCCTCCTGTCTTTCTCCTCTGTCTTTCTCCTCCTGTCTTTCTCCTGTCTTTCTCCTCCTCTGACTTTCTCCTCCTCTGTCTTTCTCCTCCTGTCTTTCTCCTCCTGTCTTTCTCTTCTGTCTTTCTCCTCCTGTCTTTCTCCTGTCTTTCTCCTCCTCTAACTTTCTCCTCCTCTGTCTTTCTCCTCCTCTGTCTTTCTCTTCCTCTGTCTTTCTCCTCCTCTGACTTTCTCCTGTCTTTCTCGTCCTCTGACTTTCTCCTGTCTTTCTCGTCCTCTGACTTTCTCCTGTCTTTCTCCTCTGTCTTTCTCCTCCTGTCTTTCTCCTCTGTCTTTCTCCTCCTCTGTCTTTCTCCTCCTGTCTTTCTCCTCCTCTGTCTTTCTCCTCCTCTGACTTTCTCCTCCTCTGTCTTTCTCCTCCTGTCTTTCTCCTGTCTCTCTCCTCCTGTCTTTCTCCTCTGTCTTTCTCCTCCTGTCTTTCTCCTCTGTCTTTCTCCTCCTCTGTCTTTCTCCTCCTCTGTCTTTCTCCTCCTGTCTTTCTCCTCTGTCTTTCTCCTCCTGTCTTTCTCCTGTCTTTCTCCTGTCTTTCTCCTCCTCTGACTTTCTCCTCCTGTCTTTCTCCTCCTGTCTTTCTCCTCTGTCTTTCTCCTCCTGTCTTTCTCCTCCTCTGTCTTTCTCCTCCTGTCTTTCTCCTCCTCTGTCTTTCTCCTCTGTCTTTCTCCTCCTGTCTTTCTCCTCCTGTCTTTCTCCTGTCTTTCTCCCCCTCTGTCTTTCTCCTCCTCTGTCTTTCTCCTCCTCTGTCTTTCTCCTCCTCTGTCTTTCTCCTCCTCTGTCTTTCTCCTCCTCTGTCTTTCTCCTCCTCTGACTTTCTCCTCCTGTCTTTCTCTGTCTTTCTCTCTGTCTTTTCCCCTCTGTCTTTCTCCTCCTCTGACTTTCTCCTCCTGTCTTTTTCCTGTCTTTCTCCTCCTCTGTCTTTCTCCTCCTGTCTTTCTCCTCTGTCTTTAGACTCCGATGTCTTTCTCCTCCTCTGTCTTTCTCCTCCTCTGTCTTTAGACTCCGATGTCTTTCTCCTCCTCTGACTTTCTCCTGTCTTTCACCTCCTCTGACTTTCTCCTCCTGTCTTTCTCCTCCTCTGTCTTTCTCCTCCTGTCTTTCTCCTCCTCTGTCTTTCTCCTCCTGTCTTTCTCCTCCTGTCTTTCTCCTCCTGTCTTTCTCCTGTCTTTCACCTCCTGTCTTTCTCCTGTCTTTCTCCTGTCTTTCTCCTCCTGTCTTTCTCCTGTCTTTCTCCTCCTCTGTCTTTCTCCTCCTGTCTTTCTCCTCAATCAATCAATCAGCGTTTATTTATAGAGCGCCTTTCCTACACAAGGCAACGCAAAGCGCCTCACAACCCATATAACATCATGCATAAATCATCAAACATTAGAATTTAAGTAAACATAAAAAGACAGCTTAAGAGCACAAGATATATAAAATCACACAAGTAGTTAAAAACCGTAAAAAATTAAAATCACACAAGGGATTACAATCATAAATAATCATAAATAATCATAGCGCATTAAAAAGATTAAAGATAAAAACAAATGTAAAATCATTCACTTGTATGCACAGATAAAAAGAACTGTTTTCAGTTCAGTTTTAAAAACTGCTAGAGTAGACGCCTGTCTCACACTCTCGGGAAGACGGTTCCAGACTCTAGCTGCATGAATCTGAAACGCAGCCTCCCCATGTCTAGTTCCGACTCTTGGCACTAACAGAAGTCCAGTCCCTGTGCTCCTCAGAGCCCGAGTTGGTTCATATGGCACCAACATGTCGCGGATGTACCCTGGTGCGAGGCCATGGAGAGACTTGTACACAAGTAAAGCTACTTTAAAATCTATTCTCTGAGCCACAGGAAGCCAGTGCAGAGACCTGAGGACCGGACTAATGTGGTCGTACTTCCTGGTTCTAGTCAGGACTCGAGCTGCAGCATTTTGGATGTACTGCAGCTGTTTTACCGCTTGTTTAGAGAGACCTGTGAACAAGCCATTGCAGTAGTCCAATCGACTGGAGACAAATGCGTGGATAAGAATCTCCAAGTCTGCTTTAGACACAATGTTTTTAATTTTAGCAATGTTTCTTAGGTGGAAGTAAGCTGATGATGTCACAGATGATATGTGGCTATTGAAATTCAAGTCTGAGTCCATTATTACTCCTAGATTTCTGACCTGAGTTGAGGGTTTCAGGGAGAGAGACTGGAGGTGGCAGATAACGCTCTCTCTTTGTTTCTGAGGTCCGAAAACAATAATTTCAGTTTTTTCTGTGTTTAGCTGGAGAAAGTTATTTTGCATCCAATCACTGATCTGTTGGATACAGTGAAGGAGCGAGTCCACTGGTCCATGTTCTCCTGCTGTCAGGGACACATAGACCTGAGTATCGTCAGCGTAATTGTGATAGGACACGTTATTACTGTGTATTAACCTACCCAGAGGCAGCATGTAAATATTAAACAGGAGAGGCCCCAGGATTGAGCCCTGTGGCACTCCGCAGGTCAGGGCCAGATGGTCTGAGACACAGTTTCCGATCTCCACAAAATACTTTCTGTCCTGTAGGTAGGATATAAACCAGCTTAGGGCTGTTCCAGAAACACCAACCCAGTCCTCAAGTCTCTGAATGAGGATACCATGATCGACAGTGTCGAAAGCAGCACTCAAATCTAACAGGATAAGAACTGAGACTTTTCCTGCGTCAGTGTTAAGTCTGATGTCATTTGTTACCTTCACTAGAGCGGTCTCTGTGCTGTGGTGGGGTCTAAAACCAGACTGGAACATATCAAAAGAGTGATTGATTATTAAAAATTCTGTAAGTTGTTGATAGACAACTTTTTCTAGAATTTTACCCATGAAAGGCAGATTTGAAATGGGCCGATAACTTTTAAGTGCCAAGGCATCCAGACTCCTCTTTTTTAGGAGGGGTCTGATGACTGCCGTTTTCAGGGCCATTGGGAATGTTCCAGATTCAAGAGACATATTTACTATATGCGTGAGTGAAGGTAAAAGACTGCTCAGAACAGACTTAAGAAATCTAGGAGGTAATACATCCAGGCTACATGTAGAAGAACTCAGACTTGTAATTATCATTTGGACAGTTTCATTTTGTACTGGTGTAAAGTGTGTCAGCCCAAAAAGCTTCACTGGCTGTTGGATTGTAATTTCTACTGTGGAGGTGATGGCATTTTTGATGCCTTGGACTTTGTCATTAAAAAACTCTGCAAACTCATTACATTTGGTTTTGGAGGTAAGCTCTGATGGCATCTTAACAGGGGGATTTGTCAATTTATTTACCGTTGAGAACAGAACGCGTAGATTGCCACTACAACCTTCGATTGTTTCGGAAAAATAAGTTTCCCTCGTTCTACGTAGCACACTGTTGAACTTGCACAATGCATCTTTGAAGATCTCATGGTCAACTTGGAGATTTGACTTTCGCCACTTCCGCTCGGCTCTCCGGCACTCTCTCTTCTGTGCCCTGACAGAGTCTGCTTTTGTCCATGGCGCCTTTTGCTTATTTGTAACAATTTTGACCTTTACAGGAGCAATCGTGTCCAGAACATCCAAAACACTAGAGGTGACAGAGTTAAGTAATTCATCCACCGTAGAACACAACGTGTTATCAAAGTCCTCTGTCTTTCTCCTCCTGTCTTTCTCCTCCTCTGTCTTTCTCCTCCTGTCTTTCTCCTGTCTTTCACCTCCTGTCTTTCTCCTCCTGTCTTTCTCCTCTGTCTTTCTCCTCCTGTCTTTCTCCTCTGTCTTTCTCCTCCTGTCTTTCTCCTCCTCTGACTTTCTCCTCTGTCTTTCTCGTCCTCTGACTTTCTCCTCCTGTCTTTCTCCTCCTCTGACTTTCTCCTCCTCTGTCTTTCTCCTCCTGTCTTTCTCCTCCTGTCTTTCTCCTCTGTCTTTCTCCTCCTGTCTTTCTCCTCTGTCTCTCTCCTCCTGTCTTTCTCCTCTGTCTTTCTCCTCCTCTGTCTTTCTCCTCCTGTCTTTCTCCTCTGTCTTTCTCCTCCTTTCTTTCTCCTGTCTTTCTCCTCCTGTCTTTCTCCTGTTTTTCTCCTCCTCTGACTTTCTCCTCCTCTGTCTTTCTCTTCTGTCTTTCTCCTCCTGTCTTTCTCCTCCTCTGTCTTTCTCCTCTGTCTTTCTCCTCCTCTGTCTTTAGACTCCGATGTCTTTCTCCTCCTCTGTCTTTAGACTCCGATGTCTTTCTCCTCTGACTTTCTCCTGTCTTTCACCTCCTCTGACTTTCTCCTCCTCTGTCTTTCTCCTCCTCTGTCTTTCTCCTCCTGTCTTTCTCCTCCTGTCTTTCTCCTGTCTTTGACCTCCTGTCTTTCTCCTCTGTCTTTCTCCTCCTGTCTTTCTCCTGTCTTTCTCCTCCTGTCTTTCTCCTGTCTTTCTCCTCCTGTCTTTCTCCTCCTGTCTTTCTCCTCCTCTGTCTTTCTCCTCCTGTCTTTCTCCTGTCTTTCTCCTCCTGTCTTTCTCCTCCTCTGTCGTTAGACTCCGATGTCCTTTCTCCTCCTCTGTCTTTAGACTCCGATGTCTTTCTCCTCCTCTGACTTTCTCCTGTCTTTCACCTCCTCTGACTTTCTCCTCCTGTCTTTCTCCTCCTCTGTCTTTCTCCTCCTGTCTTTCTCCTCCTCTGTCTTTCTCCTCTGTCTTTCTCCTCTGTCTTTCTCCTCCTGTCTTTCTCTCCTGTCTTTCTCTCCTGTCTTTCTCCTGTCTTTCTCCTGTCTTTCTCCTCCTGTCTTCTCTCCTGTCTTTCTCCTGTCTTTCTCCTCCTGTCTTTCTCCTGTCTTTCTCTCCTGTCTTTCTCCTCCTCTGTCTTTCTCCTCCTGTCTTTCTCCTGTCTTTCTCCTGTCTTTCTCCTGTCTTTCTCCTGTCTTTCTCCTCCTGTCTTTCTCCTGTCTTTCTCCTGTCTTTCTCCTCCTGTCTTTCTCCTGTCTTTCTCCTCCTGTCTTTCTCCTCCTCTGTCTTTCTCCTCCTGTCTTTCTCCTGTCTTTCTCCTCCTGTCTTTCTCCTGTCTTTCTCCTCCTCTGTCTTTCTCCTCCTGTCTTTCTCCTTGTAAAGAACAGCTGTTCTTTACGGGTAATATCGCACTGCACTTTATGAATTTACCTTTTAAATGTCACATCACACTTTAAATTGCACTGTACACATATTGTCACATGCTAATTTGCACATATAATAAATTGCACACAACTGTTGGGTAGAAAGACATTTATTGAGGACTTGGGTTGTCCAGAGTCCGGTCTGCGGAGACAAACAAAACAGTTTGAGTGGGGCTTTGTGCAATATATGTGGTGTTTGAGTTAGTTGTGTTTGGTATGGGTTCGGGTGTGTGTGATGTGTGGTTTTAGTGGGTGAATGATATAAGTGTGGCTGTGATATGTATTTTAAAAATGTGTTTACTCACCACTGTCTTGTGTCCAGGTGCGTGGGCCAAAAGGGTCCCCGGGCCACAAACACCGGCATTTATGGTTCCGGCTGGACCAAGTCAATGAATTGGTGGAGGGGGGATCTAGCACTGTTTTTAGTCATAGTTGGTATAGATATTTTTGTAGGAGGGTGTTTTAGGAGTATATTTTTGTAGGGGGGTGTTTTATTATTGTAACTGGTTATTGGTATTTTAATGGAGGGTTTTAACATAGTTTTTAGAAGCTAATGTTAATGCTATACCCCTGGAGTTTTAATTGGTTTTACCCAGTAGTATATAAGGCGCCCATTTTTACCATTCCATTGTCCTGCTGCTGGGGAACACATGCTCCTGTCCTTCATCCACTGTGTTGGTTTGTTTTGCATTTTTGCACCCTTTTCTTTGTCTGCACTGGTCACTTTAAAAAAAACAGGAAAAACAGAAAATAAAAATAAGTGGACCAAGCTGAAGCCTGCCTCCGTCAACTTTGTTTGGGTATATCTCACTGCCATCCAGCCGCTCACAGCCAGGCCTGCTAACACTCCTCCTCTGTCTTTCTCCTCCTGTCTTTCTCCTCCTCTGTCTTTCTCCTCCTGTCTTTCTCCTGTCTTTCACCTCCTGTCTTTCTCCTCTGTCTTTCTCCTCCTGTCTTTCTCCTCTGTCTCTTCTCCTCCTGTCTTTCTCCTCCTCTGACTTTCTCCTCTGTCTTTCTCGTCCTCTGACTTTCTCCTCCTGTCTTTCTCCTCCTCTGTCTTTCTCCTCCTGTCTTTCTCCTCCTCTGACTTTCTCCTCCTCTGTCTTTCTCCTCCTGTCTTTCTCCTCCTGTCTTTCTCCTCTGTCTTTCTCCTCCTGTCTTTCTCCTGTCTTTCTCCTCCTCTAACTTTCTCCTCCTCTGTCTTTATCCTCCTGTCTTTCTCTGTCTTTCTCCTCCTGTCTTTCTCCTCCTCTGTCTTTCTCCTCTGTCTTTCTCCTCCTGTCTTTCTCCTGTCTTTCTCCTGTCTTTCTCCTCCTGTCTTTCTCCTGTCTTTCTCCTCCTCTGTTTTTCTCCTCCTCTGTCTTTCTCCTCTGTCTTTCTCGTCCTCTGACTTTCTCCTCCTGTCTTTCTCCTCCTCTGTCTTTCTCCTCCTCTGTCTTTCTCCTCCTGTCTTTCTCCTCCTCTGACTTTCTCCTCCTCTGACTTTCTCCTCCTCTGTCTTTCTCCTCTGTCTTTCTCCTCCTGTCTTTCTCCTCTGTCTTTCTCCTCCTGTCTTTCTTCTCCTCTGACTTTCTCCTCTGTCTTTCTCGTCCTCTGACTTTCTCCTCCTGTCTTTCTCCTCCTCTGTCTTTCTCCTCCTGTCTTTCTCCACCTCTGACTTTCTCCTCCTCTGTCTTTCTCCTCCTCTGTCTTTCTCCTCCTGTCTTTCTCCTCCTGTCTTTCTCCTCTGTCTTTCTCCTCTGTCTTTCTCCTCCTGTCTTTCTCCTCCTCTGACTTTCTCCTCCTCTGTCTTTCTCCTCCTGTCTTTTTCCTCCTCTGACTTTCTCCTCCTGTCTTTCTCCTCCTGTCTTTCTCCTCCTGTCTTTCTCCTCCTCCGTCTTTCTCCTCCTGTCTTTCTCCTCCTCTGAGTTTCTCCTCCTGTCTTTCTCCTCCTCTGACTTTCTCCTCCTGTCTTTCTCCTCCTCTGACTTTCTCCTCCTCTGACTTTCTCCTCCTCTGACTTTCTCCTCCTGTCTTTCTCCTCCTCTGTCTTTCTCCTCCTCTGTCTTTCTCCTCCTCTGTCTTTCTCCTCCTCTGTCTTTCTCCTCCTGTCTTTCTCCTCCTCTGTCTTTCTCCTCCTGTCTTTCTGTCTTTCTCCTCCTCTGTCTTTCTCCTCCTCTGACTTTCTCCTCCTCTGACTTTCTCCTCCTGTCTTTCTCCTCCTCTGACTTTCTCCTCCTGTCTTTCTCCTCCTCTGTCTTTATCCTCCTGTCTTTCTCTGTCTTTCTCCTCTGTCTTTCTCCTCCTCTGTCTTTCTCCTCCTCTGACTTTCTCCTCCTCTGACTTTCTCCTCCTGTCTTTCTCCTCCTGTCTTTCTCCTCCTCTGACTTTCTCCTCCTGTCTTTCTCCTCCTGTCTTTCTCCTCTGACTTTCTCCTCCTCTGTCTTCCTCCTCCTCTGACTTTCTCCTCCTGTCTTTCTCCTCCTGTCTTTCTCCTGTCTTTCTCCTCCTGTCTTTCTCCTCCTCTGTCTTTCTCCTCCTCTGTCTTTCTCCTCCTCTGTCTTTCTCCTGTCTTTCTCCTCCTCTGTCTTTCTCCTCCTGTCTTTCTCCTCCTGTCTTTCTCCTCCTGTCTCTCCTCTGTCTTTCTCCTCCTCTGTCTTTCTCCTCCTGTCTTTCTCCTCCTCTGACTTTCTCCTCCTGTCTTTCTCCTCTGTCTTTCTCCTCCTGTCTTTCTCTGTCTTTCTCCTGTCTTTCTCCTCCTGTCTTTCTCTTCTGTCTTTCTCCTCCTCTGACTTTCTCCTCCTCTGACTTTCTCCTCCTGTCTTTCTCCTCCTCTGACTTTCTCCTCCTGTCTTTCTCCTCCTGTCTTTCTCCTCTGACTTTCTCCTCCTGTCTTTCTCCTCCTGTCTTTCTCCTCCTGTCTTTCTCCTCCTGTCTTTCTCCTCCTGTCTTTCTCCTGTCTTTCTCCTCCTCTGTCTTTCTCCTCCTGTCTTTCTTCTCCTGTCTTTCTCTGTCTTTCTCCTCCTCTGTCTTTCTCCTCCTCTGTCTTTCTCCTCCTGTCTTTCTCTGTCTTTCTCCTCCTCTGTCTTTCTTTTCCTGTCTTTCTCCTCCTCTGTCTTTCTCTTCTGTCTTTCTCCTCCTCTGTCTTTCTTTTCCTGTCTTTCTCCTCCTCTGTCTTTCTCTTCTGTCTTTCTCCTCCTCTGACTTTCTCTTCTGTCTTTCTCCTCCTCTGACTTTCTCTTCTGTCTTTCTCCTCCTGTCTTTCTCCTCCTCTGACTTTCTCCTCCTGTCTTTCTCCTCCTGTCTTTCTCCTGTCTTTCTCCTCCTCTGACTTTCTCCTCCTGTCTTTCTCCTCCTGTCTTTCTCCTCTGTCTTTCTCCTCCTCTGACTTTCTCCTCCTGTCTTTCTCCTCCTTTCTTTCTCTGTCTTTCTCCTCCTGTCTTTCTCCTCCTCTGTCTTTCTTTTCCTGTCTTTCTCCTGTCTTTCTCCTCCTCTGACTTTCTCCTCCTGTCTTTCTCCTCCTGTCTTTCTCCTCTGTCTTTCTCCTCCTCTGACTTTCTCCTCCTGTCTTTCTCCTCCTTTCTTTCTCTGTCTTTCTCCTCCTCTGTCTTTCTCCTCCTCTGTCTTTCTCCTCCTGTCTTTCTCTGTCTTTCTCCTCCTCTGTCTTTCTTTTCCTGTCTTTCTCCTCCTCTGTCTTTCTCTTCTGTCTTTCTCCTCCTCTGTCTTTCTTTTCCTGTCTTTCTCCTCCTCTGTCTTTCTCTTCTGTCTTTCTCCTCCTCTGACTTTCTCTTCTGTCTTTCTCCTCCTCTGACTTTCTCTTCTGTCTTTCTCCTCCTGTCTTTCTCCTCCTCTGACTTTCTCCTCCTGTCTTTCTCCTCCTGTCTTTCTCCTGTCTTTCTCCTCCTCTGACTTTCTCCTCCTGTCTTTCTCCTCCTGTCTTTCTCCTCTGTCTTTCTCCTCCTCTGACTTTCTCCTCCTGTCTTTCTCCTCCTTTCTTTCTCTGTCTTTCTCCTCCTGTCTTTCTCCTCCTTTCTTTCTCTGTCTTTCTCCTCCTGTCTTTCTCCTCCTCTGTCTTTCTTTTCCTGTCTTTCTCCTCCTCTGTCTTTTTCCTCCTGTTTTTCTCCTCCTGTCTTTTTCCTCCTCTGACTTTCTCCTGTCTTTCTCCTCCTCTGACTTTCTCCTGTCTTTCTCCTGGTGATTATATTTTGATATTGTCGTTGTAAATCCAGATATGAGCCATTAGTATTGACCAATCAGCAACAGTCTTAGCAACATGTCTGCGCTCTGAGACAGAATAGTTTATGGATTTATTATTCTGACTCCCAAGTTTGAGTAGCTTCAGGACCTGCGTGTATGATCAAATAACAACTATCTATCATCACGAGTCAACAGTTACAATAGTCAAGTTACAACAGTTGTCTTTCTGGTTTGTGTTGCTCCATCATCTGTTGGTTAAGTGTTGTATTAGTTGGATCCTTTGCGTCACAGCCAAAGAAAGGAGAGCTCTAAACAACAGCATGTTCTGGAGGTTCTTTATGCACCAGACTCTTAAATCAATAACTCTCCTGGCTCCTGGAAAAGCCATGTTCCAGCTTCTTCCCTCTGGCAGAAGATCACAGCGGCAATTGTTTCTTACACTTTTTAGCTTGTTTTTTTTCTGTACTTTTACACATGTATTCCAATGGGGTTTTACTGCACATGGTAAACAAACTGAATCTGAAAGTGCTGAGAAATGCATCTTCAGCCTCTGACCTGACGACCAATTTCCAGATTAACCTCCTCCAGTTTATCCTTTGTGTCTTTTGTGTTGTGCAGGTGGTGTACTTTGGCGACAGCATGCGCTCAGACATGTTTCCAGCCAGCAGCTTCGGGAAGTGGGAGACGGTGATGATCGTGGAGGAGATGGAGGGGGAGGGGGTTCCCCAGAGTGACTCGGCCAAATCCAACCAGGCCCCAGCGGAGCCTCGGGAGAAGGGAAAGTTTGAGGTCAGCGGAAGAGATTTGCGTTCAGACTTTAGGCCCAGATCTGCTCCAGACCACAGCCCGGACTGTAAATGTCACCGGTACTTTTGCCAAACATAGAATAAGAGAACCTTTATTAGTCCCACAGTGAGGGAACATGCAGGGCTGTAGTGACAGTTTATATGTGTAGCACAGTTCATACACAAGGCAACTCAAAATACTGAACAGAACAAAGCGTTAAAATCTTAAATAATCACAGTAAATTAAAAAGATAAAATCCTTCAGTTTTTGCAGCGAAACAAATGTTTTTTATCCTGGATTTGAACGTTGTCAGAGTTAAAGCCAGTCTCACATTTTCAGGAAGACTGATTTTAGCTGCATAAATCTGAAATGCTGCCTCCCCATGTTTTAGTCCTGACTCTGGGACCAGCAGGAGTCCAGTCCCTGTGCTCAGAGACCCAGCAGGAGGAGGCCAGTCCCTGTGCTCCTCAGAGTCCCAGCAGGAGGCCAGTCCCTGTGCTCCTCAGAGTCCCAGCAGGAGGCCAGTCCCTGTGCTCCTCAGAGTCCCAGCAGGAGGCCAGTCCCTGTGCTCCTCAGAGTCCCAGCAGGAGGCCAGACCCTGTGCTCCTCAGAGGCCAGTCCCTGTGCTCCTCAGAGTCCCAGCAGGAGGCCAGTCCCTGTGCTCCTCAGAGTCCCAGCAGGAGGCCAGTCCCTGTGCTCCTCAGAGACCCAGCAGGAGGAGGCCAGTCCCTGTGCTCCTCAGAGTCCAAATTAGTTCCTATGGCACTAACACAAAATGCATAAATAGCTGTAAATGTGACTGTTTTTGTCTCAGGGATTTCAGAGCCACAGTGAACAGATGATTCCACTTCCATCTACCACAGAAACTACACAGACTCCATTCGTTTCCTTTTCCTTTTAATCTCACAATTTCCCCACTGTGGGACAAATAAAGGTTCTCATATCTCATCTTAAAACCTGACGCTACCAATTACTAGACCTGGCTCAAACGCTGTAATAACACCTGCATTCCCCTCTACACTCTCCGTGACATTTCTTTGAGAAGCGGAGCAGGGGGTTTCATCAGTGACTGGGATCAGAGAGCGTTTGAAGGGCCTCCTGTGTCTGTACATGTCTGAGCTCGGGGCCCGTGTGTTGCAGGAGCAGGGCATGAAGTCCCCCTGTCAGGCGTCCAATCAGTGGGGCTCGTACTTCGTGGACGTCCAGAGAGACGCAGAGGGGGACGAGGTGCACAAGCTGACCTGGTGCTGCCATTGCATCCACAAGTACAGCGCCTTCGCCATCCCCAGCGTGGAGCACATAGCAGGCGAGCCCGGGCGGGGGATCGGGAGAATGTTGTTGACGATTTCGATATTATTGTGATATTTGGGTCACGATCCAATGATGACATATCACGATACAGCGAGGGTTACGATACGATTCTGTGGTATTCTGCGAAACACTGAGGAGGGACGGATCTTATTACAAGCAGACGTCATAGAGTCACGACAAGCAGACGTCATAGAGTCACAACAAGCAGACGGCATAGTCACAACAAGCAGACGTCATAGAGTCACGACAAGCAGACGTCATAGAATCACAACAAGCAGACGTCATAGTCACAACAAGCAGACGTCATAGAGTCACAACAAGCAGACGTCATAGTCACAACAAGCAGACGTCATAGTCACAACAAGCAGACGTCATAGAGTCACAACAAGCAGACGTCATAGTCACAACAAGCAGACATCATAGAGTCACAACAAGCAGACGTCATAGAGTCACAACAAGCAGACGTCATAGAGTCACAACAAGCAGACGTCATAGAGTCACAACAAGCAGACGTCATAGAGTCACAACAAGCAGACGTCATAGAGTCACAACAAGCAGACGTCATAGAGTCACAACAAGCAGACGTCATAGAGTCACAACAAGCAGACGTCATAGAGTCACAACAAGCAGACGTCATAGAGTCACAACAAGCAGACGTCATAGAGTCACAACAAGCAGACGTCATAGTCACAACAAGCAGACGTCATAGTCACAACAAGCAGACGTCATAGAGTCACAACAAGCAGACGTCATAGAGTCACAACAAGCAGACGTCATAGTCACAACAAGCAGACGTCATAGAGTCACAACAAGCAGACGTCATAGAATCACAACAAGCAGACGTCATAGTCACAACAAGCAGACGTCATAGAGTCACAACAAGCAGACGTCATAGAGTCACAACAAGCAGACGTCATAGTCACAACAAGCAGACGTCATAGTCACAACAAGCAGACGTCATAGTCACAACAAGCAGACGTCATAGAGTCACAACAAGCAGACGTCATAGAGTCACAACAAGCAGACGTCATAGTCACAACAAGCAGACGTCATAGAGTCACAACAAGCAGACGTCATAGAGTCACAACAAGCAGACGTCATAGAGTCACAACAAGCAGACGTCATAGAGTCACAACAAGCAGACGTCATAGAGTCACAACAAGCAGACGTCATAAAGTCACAACAAGCAGACATCATAGTCACAACAAGCAGACGTCATAGTCACAACAAGCAGACGTCATAGTCACAACAAGCAGACATCATAGTCACAACAAGCAGACGTCATAGTCACAACAAGCAGACGTCATAGTCACAACAAGCAGACGTCATAGAATCACAACAAGCAGACATCATAGTCACAACAAGCAGACATCATAGAGTCACAACAAGCAGACGTCATAGTCACAACAAGCAGACATCATAGAGTCACAACAAGCAGACGTCATAGAGTCACAACAAGCAGACGTCAGAGTCACAACAAGCAGACATCAGAGTCACAACAAGCAGACGTCATAGAGTCACAACAAGCAGAGGTCATAGAATCACAACAAGCAGACGTCATAGAGTCACAACAAGCAGACGTCATAGTCACAACAAGCAGACATCATAGAGTCACAACAAGCAGACATCATAGTCACAACAAGCAGACATCATAGTCACAACAAGCAGACATCATAGAGTCACAACAAGCAGACGTCATAGTCACAACAAGCAGACATCATAGAGTCACAACAAGCAGACGTCATAGAGTCACAACAAGCAGACGTCATAGTCACAACAAGCAGACATCATAGAGTCACAACAAGCAGACATCATAGTCACAACAAGCAGACATCATAGAGTCACAACAAGCAGACGTCATAAAGTCACAACAAGCAGACGTCATAGTCACAACAAGCAGACGTCATAGTCACAACAAGCAGACATCATAGAGTCACAACAAGCAGACGTCATAGTCACAACAAGCAGACATCATAGAGTCACAACAAGCAGACGTCATAGAGTCACAACAAGCAGACGTCATAGTCACAACAAGCAGACATCATAGAGTCACAACAAGCAGACATCATAGTCACAACAAGCAGACATCATAAAGTCACAACAAGCAGACGTCATAGTCACAACAAGCAGACATCATAGAGTCACAACAAGCAGACGTCATAGTCACAACAAGCAGACGTCATAGTCACAACAAGCAGACGTCATAGAGTCACAACAAGCAGACATCATAGAGTCACAACAAGCAGACGTCATAGTCACAACAACAGACGTCAGAGTCACAACGGTGGCACGGTGGCTGAGTGGATAGCACGCTCGCCTCTCAGCAAGAAGGTCCTGTGTTCGAATCCCGGTTGGACCAGGGCCTTTCTGAGTGGAGTTTGCATGTTCTCCCCGTGTCTGCGTAGGTTTCCTCCGGGTGCTCCGGTTTCCCCTACCACTAAAAATATGTACAATAGGTCTGGCATGTGCCTCCTGTACTGGCACACCCACTCACAAAAATAACAATTGTAAACCGCTTTGAGACTCCGATGTGCAGTGAAAAGGCGGTATATAAATAAAGATTACTTACTACTACTACTACTACAACAAGCAGACATCATAGTCACAACAAGCAGACGTCATAGAGTCACAACAAGCAGACGTCATAGAGTCACAACAACAGACGTCATAGTCACAATAAGTTTGCATGTTCTCCCCGTGTCTGCGTAGGTTTCCTCCGGGTGATCCGGTTTCTCCTACCACTAAAAATATGTACAATAGGTCTGGCATGTGCCTCCTGTACTGGCACCCCCCACTCCCAAAAATAACAATTGTAAACCGCTTTGAGACTCCGGTGCAGACGTCATAGAGTCACAACAACAGACGTCATAGTCACAACAAGCAGACGTCAGAGTCACAACAAGCAGACGTTATAGAGTCACAACAAACAGATGTCATAGAGTCACAACAAGCAGACATAGTCACAACAAACAGACACCATAGAGTCACGACAAGCAGACGTCATAGTCACAACAAGCAGACACCATAGAGTCACAACAAGCAGACGTTATAGAGTCACAACAAACAGACGTCATAGAGTCACAACAAGCAGACATAGTCACAACAAACAGACACCATAGAGTCACGACAAGCAGACGTCATAGTCACAACAGACGTCATAGAGTCACAACAAGCAGACGTCATAGAGTCACAACAAGCAGACGTCATAGAGTCACAACAAGCAGACGTCATAGAGTCACAACAAGCAGACGTCATAGAGTCACAACAAGCAGACGTCATAGAGTCACAACAAGCAGACATCAGAGTCACAACAAGCAGACGTCATAGAGTCACAACAAGCAGACGTCATAGTCACAACAAGCAGACGTCATAGAGTCACAACAACAGACGTCATAGTCACAACAAGCAGACGTCATAGAGTCACAACAAGCAGACGTCATAGAGTCACAACAAGCAGACGTCATAGTCACAACAAGCAGACGTCATAGAGTCACAACAACAGACGTCATAGTCACAACAAGCAGACGTCATAGAGTCACAACAAGCAGACGTCATAGAGTCACAACAAGCAGACGTCATAGAGTCACAACAATAGACGTCATAGTCACAACAAGCAGACGTCATAGAGTCACAACAACAGACGTCATAGTCACAACAAGCAGACGCCATAGTCACAACAAGCAGACGTCATAGAGTCACAACAAGCAGACGTCATAGAGTCACAACAAGCAGACACCATAGAGTCACAACAAGCAGACGTCATAGTCACGACAAGCAGACATCATAGAGTCACAACAAGCAGACGTCATAGTCACGACAAGCAGACATCATAGAGTCACAACAAGCAGACGTCATAGTCACAACAAGCAGACGTCATAGTCACGACAAGCAGACGTCATAGTCACAACAAGCAGACATTATAGAGTCACGACAAGCAGACATCATAGTCGCAACAGACGTCATAGAGTCACAACAAGCAGACGTCATAGAGTCACGACAAGCAGACATCATAGAGTCACAACAAGCAGACGTCATAGTCATGACAAGCAGACGTCATAGAGTCACGACAAGCAGACATCAGAGTCACGACAAGCAGACATCATAGAGTCACAACAAGCAGACGTCATAGTCATGACAAGCAGACGTCATAGAGTCACGACAAGCAGACATCAGAGTCACGACAAGCAGACGTCATAGTCGCAACAGACGTCATAGAGTCACGACAAGCAGACGTCATAGAGTCACGACAAGCAGACATCATAGAGTCACGACAAGCAGACATCATAGTCGCAACAGACGTCATAGAGTCACGACAAGCAGACGTCATAGAGTCACGACAAGCAGACATCATAGAGGAAAGGTAGCTGTAATGTATGATCAGTCACATTCAGGTTTTGAGGCGTCTCAGAACAAAACTTCTGCCTTCTCATCTTACTGTAGCTTTGACCTTTGAACCAAAGGCTTTACACAATACTGGGTTCAACAGAACACTTACTTTCTACAGAAAAATAAAATCTCACACACAGCACTTAGAGAAAGGGAAGTCAAATATGTAAATGTCTCCTGTGGTTGTGCAGGACTACAACCCAGTCCTGCTTCAATGTGTTAATGTGAACAGAAGATCAACGCATGTGATCAGGGCCAATGTCAGAGCTTTAGAGTTTTCAAAACACACTACTGTTATTATCTATTTGGAAACCTCATATGAAAGTTTGTGAGTCTATTCTAATCAACTTGTGATCAGCTGATAAACTTCCTATTTGAGGTTTCTGTAGAGATAGTTCAGTTTCCGCTCAGTTTGCTTATTTTTTACATCTCTAAGCAGTTACTTTTGTGGGTAAAAGTTTAAACTCTTGTCGTATCTGTTTTTCTTGTGTGTGGCTGCTGCACTTTTCCCATAAGGATCTTGTTATATCCACATACCACCTGCACCTGTGGCTAATGCTCTGCTTCTGCTCCTCCAGACCTGCCGTTGGATTACAAATTCCCCCGCTTCTCCCCAGACAAGCCCTGCACCGTCGGATACTACCCCAGACCTCCCGATTCTTTACTCAAGAGGTTCCAAAATGAGTAAAGAAAATACATACATAAGCACATACATCTTGTGGCGGGTTCAGGAGAGAAGCCTCCGTCACCGTCGGGGGTGAGACTGTTGCAGGAGGCGACTTCTGTTCATCCAAGTAAAAAAATATGTTTGTGACGCATTCAAGACCTGACTGTGTGTTCTGTGAAGCTAATCAAAAATATGAACGTCCCATCTCCTCCTCCTCCTCCAGAAGTGAAGACATCCGTACACGTGGAAAGACTGTGATGCTCATTTGTGATTCCACTTTCTGGTAAATGTGAGAAACAGTAGTTCAAGGTTCATCTGCGCTGATAGATTCGACAAGTTTCTAGTTTGTAAGACCAGAGAGGTTGTTTCGTACTGGACAGTTTGAGGCCTGCTAGAGCACAGTAAGGCTGGGAATTGGTAAAAATGTGACGATTTGATAGTATTGCGATATTCGGGCCACAATTCAATAATATTGCGATTCTTAACATATCATGATACAGCAAGTTTTGCAATTCGATTCTGCCACATAATGCAATTCATGTCCCCCATATTATTCAAAGGTGTTTCAAAAATTGAGGAAAGTAAGACCGTTAAACTCAAATGTCAGTTATTATGGAGCAGTCTTCCTTAGGTCACGTGATCCTGTGTTGTGTCCTGTGTTTTTACAGTTTTTGGCGCTGTCTCGACCACTAGCGGCAGGACGACAGCGCCATCTGCAGTCCGACTTCTTCAAGCAAGATTCCCAGGTGTGTGAGAGTAAAGCAGCCCCCTCGTCCCGGTTTACAGTCCTGGGCGCACGTCTCTGTATTGCCATTTCCTCGTTGCTCCAGCCTCTATAATGTTTGCTTTGTCCCAGGTCCTTTCTCTTACAGCGGTCAGAGATGGTCCAGTCCATAACGTGGTTCTCTCTCTTGGAGATGGCAGATTTGAGTCATCTACAAAACACCAGGCATGTCTTGTAATCAAACATACATTGGGGAAACAGAGAGGGCGTTCAGTAAATGTAAAAAGAAACGCAAAACACAGAAGAAGGCTGCAAAGACGTGCACACAAGCAACAGAACAAAAGTAAAATCAGCCTTGTCTGACTGCTGTAAAAGAGAGAACAACATTATGAACCAGGACAACGCTAATATCATAGAGACTGAGGACAGCAAACACCGGAGATGGATCAAAGAAGCAAAAGAGATACAGAAACGTGCTTCTTTGGACTATAAACCGGGACAAGGGGGCTGTCCAACTCTCACACACCTTGGATTCTGACCTGAAGAAGTGGGACTGTAGAGGGCGCTGTGGTTCTGCCTCTGGAGGTAGAAAGAAAGCGCCAAAAACTGTAAAAACGGCTGCAAGACCCGACACAGGATCATCACATGACATCCCTCTGAGAAAGACCAAACAAGTCCCAACTGTCGGACAAAGAAACCTCTCCGGTCCTCGACTTGTTGTGGTGATACACATGTTGGTGGTGGTCATCTATAATGTCGTCTGTTTTGAATATTACAGAATAAATCCATCTGGTTCATGTCATTCTTGGACATAAATTATATTCTCCAGTGAAGTGCTTTTGTAGCGTTTTAAACCATGTTCCGTAAATGATAAAAGTCTGCTTCATGTTGTGATCAGACGCCACTAACTCCACAGAGACGTTCAGTTCTGCATTTATGAGAACTGGTCTGGGATCGACAGTACTTCCTGGATGTTAAGCGATTAGGATTATTGTACTTGAAATGTATTTAAACATTTTCAAAAACAAACTATCGTAAAATTCCACATTATATCAAGAGTAAGACGATACAAATGTCCACATCCCTCACATGATGTGGAAGATATACATATATTTTTTTCCTTCTCTCAAAACAATAAGAACAATAGGCAAAAATAAAGAGGGGAAACATATTGGTAGTAAACTTACTCTGACAATAAATATTGTTTTGCAACGCACAAAAAGTAATGTTTAAAAGATATATAAGATATTTTTGTCCATATATAAGCCGCACTTGAATATAAGCTGCAGGTTTTTTGGTTGTAATGTCACTGAACCAACAGCAGATGGCGCAAAACAAAGCAGAGAGACTGTTTTAACTGTTTACCTAAAGCTAAAGGGAAATACCAGGGTGATCTCAAAGGAAGCAAACGTTAGCCGTTAGCTTACAATGAAGCTATGTCCTGTAGCTATATACGAAACCTGGATGAAGTCAAAATGAAACCAGTTTTGATAAGTTTCATGCACATAAACTCTAGTCCCTTGTATTTCCTGCATCTCTACAAGTCTCTGCTGTTCACATAAACATAAACCACAGTTGATAGAGCTGTCTCCATATTCTTTCATATTTTACCACAATAAAAAGCATTTACATTAGCCACGTGACTATAAAGGCCGTAAGCGAAGTGGCTTATAGTCCGGCAAATACTGTATATTTACATTTTACTTTTGTGATCGTATTTTGCTAAACACCTGGGAACAAAATGCATTGAACAAAATCATTGCAGCTTCCATTGTTTATGAACTGAAATCAATTATGTAAAACTTTGTCTATCCACAAAATAGACCTATTGTTCAAAAGTCTGTGTAGGTCAGCTCTTCTTTTTTGCCAAAATAGTCCATTCAGCGGTGGATCTGTTGTGTTTTGCTCATGAAATATGTGAGTTTCATTCAGATATTTAAAGGGCCAGTGTAGCTGCAGGTTTTCATTCCAACCAAGCAGGAGCACACCAGATTTCCTCAAGTCAGTCCAGTCTTCAAACCCTTTAGGCGCCACATACAGTAATTGCTGCACAAACTTCTAAATCCAGGACACTTTCTATAGAGCGACTTTGCCTCCGACAATCGTGTCCGAACAGCCTCCCCATGTCATTATTCTAACAACAAAAACATTGGGACCTAAAGGGTCTTGGGGTTCTCCTGCTTGGTTGGAATGAAGACGTGCAGCCAAACCGGTCTGTCTGGAACTACTGACACTTGTGAATCTACTCAATCGTTTGTTTTGCTCCATTTGAACAGTTCATGATCCGTGTTGGAGCATTTGTGAATGTAGACGGCGTGACGCAGACGGACTGAATGTCTGCAAACGTTATGATAATGTACCGTTTCTGAGACCGGCCTGGACGACGATGGCACTTTACAACTGTTCTCCTCAAAGTACCTGTGCTCAGTGTTGTGTGCTGGAGTCTTTGTCCTGTGTCGCGGTGACTGAGGAACCGGGACGGTCCCTAAAACCTGGTGCAGGCGTAAGTGTTGTGGGTGACGTCCCAGTGTTGTCCTGTACCTTTGCTGGAGTGACTGTATTAAAGTGGACTTCTCGTGTCTCATTCAAGTTCATTTCATTTCAATTTTTGTTTGTACTTCTCTAGATCGCAGTTGTCTAAGAGGAATTTACAACATTGTCGATTCCTCAACAATCTAACCGTTCTTAAAACAAGATTTTCCAACGTGTACAGAGGACCATATGATAATGTAGGGATGTTTATGGACTTCCTCAGTCCAGACTCCGACCATTGAGGGTCTGTGGTCCTAGCCTTAGACCAATGTGTGTCCGGCTCTCAGACAAATGTTAGTTGGCAGTAATAGTTATTAACGAAAATGTACCAAAATAATACATTCTGAGACATATTCATAGTTTTTTCATAGTAAAATATATGTATGGCTCCCACAGAAAAACCTTTTAAAGTTTGAGATCTAATGTGTAGTTCTAAGACACACTGTTGGCCATAATCAGTAATCTGAGAGGGAGACTTCAGATAATACACATATGGTCCAAGTCGATGTGATTGAATGAGATTAGAATAGACAAGATTACACAGGTCCTTTTCTTGTTCTGACGTTTAAAATAAATATTGAAAATGTATAAATACTCAAGTTACTGTAGTGGACGTGGTTCTCTGCTCATCCCACTCTCAAACCTCCTCTTTGGTCGTCGTCGTGCCGTGTTCTGTCGCTGTCCCTGTAATAAAGTATTTTTATGCAGCCAAGTCTGAGGTCCATGTGTCCCACGGTCAGAAGGGTCTGGACCGGAACAATGTACAGAACGTTCTGAACTGTCAACTGCATCTGTTTTACGCCAAGTTGATGATCACTGGTCATTCCAATCTATTTTGACAATAAACCAGTGTAGCAACAAAAAGCTCTGACAGAAACCTAATCTCGTATTCAACCACATGTCTCGGCTGTTCACATAAACACAGTGAGAAGTAGGAATGTGTGCTACATCATCAGCTCCAGAGATCAGCCGCTGACTGAGTTGTGTTCATACTGTTTTTGTTCCCTGGTGACGCTCGAAAAAACAAAATAAAAATGCAAGATTGAAAGCTACATGACGTCTGCAGAAGCCTGTCTCACATTTTCAGGAAGACTGTCTCACATTTTAGCTGCT